CACCACAGAACTCAAAACAGAACTAGGGAAAATGCATTTGACAGAGCTCTGTGGATTTTCATGCAAAGCAGACATGTCCTCATGTGCTTGTGCTGGGCTGAAACAGATGATTTAAATGCGGATCAACACAAAAGTTGACCCACTAGAAATGCTCTAGTAGTTCTAAGGCTGGCAGGGCAAGAGTGCAGTCTTCTGAAAGCATCCCTCTGGGATCTGGGCTGCAGGCTACAGGCAACTTTGGAGTTCAGACTTTCCATGAAGGGTTTTTTACAAAGAATGCTTTTCCACACAACCGCATCTTCATCTCTGAAGTAAAACCTTTTGATTCTGCATCTTCAGAGCTTCAATGCCAAGTCGCCAGGGACCTCTGCACTTAAAGCAGCTCCCACTCAGCTCCGCAGTGTGAAATGCAGCTACACCTGGGGAATCCTGGGCTTTTCATCGTAGGAATGATGTTGCCTGAGCATCTCTGGTTGCCAGCTAGTGTGCTGGGATGCTGCAGTGAGGAAAACAGACACGATTCGGCCTCATTAATCACAATCACAGAATCACACTACAGATGTCAGTTACCATGGGGGTTAAATTCTGTGAAGAAAATGTACCAAAGGCTTTGGGAACCTGTCATGTTACAATGGGCGCAGGAGATATTGGGGAAGTGATGCTCGAGTGGAGATGGAGGAGTCTGTCTGAGTTACTTTGGCAAAGAGGAAGAAGAGGGGCTAGCGTGTGCAAAGACCTGCCCCTCCAAAAGGAGTGGGGGGCATCTGGGGAGGGCTAAGATTGGTGGAATCAGAGGTGAGAGGAGACTTTGCTGTAAAATGAACCAGAGAAGGAGGCAGGGACTGTGGCTGTTAATTTTATGTGTCAACTCTGCCAGGCTGTGTTACCCAGCTACATGTTGCTGGGAAGGTATTTTGTAGGTACAATTAACACCTACAATCAGTTGACTTTTTAAGTAAAGGTGATTACCAAGGATAATGTAGAGATGGACCTCATATGAGCCACTGAAGTCCTTAAGAACAAAAACTGAAGTTTCCTGGAAGGAATTCTGCCTCAAGACTATAGCACAGAAATTCTGCTTGACTTTGCAGCTTGCTGGCATTCCTTCCTTAAATTCTCTCTCTCTCTGTATATATGTGTGTGTGTGTGTGTGTGTGTGTGTGTGTATTTACATATGTGTATACACATTTATGTATATGTGTGTATATATATATTTATATTTACATGCGGTTCTGTGTGTGTGTGTGTGTGTGTGTGTGTGTGTGTGTGTGTGTGTGTGTGTGTATCCCCTATTGATCTGCTGCTCTTGAGAACTCTGAGACGGGGCAGACCACAGAAAACTTGGCAGAATTTGGGCAGGAATTGGGTAGTCTTTCTCTAACAAGCAGTAGAAGCCAAAGAAGGGTTTTAAGCAGGGAGAGCAGCTACTCCAGTCAGCATCAGGATAGCACTGATCAAAGCCAGGCTGGAGCCCGGAGAACAGCCCACTGGGCCCAGAGGCTCCAGAAGCATCTGTGTCATGTTGCCCCCTGAACCTCCCTGTCTTCGATGAGGAAGACATTGGCATCCCTAAACTCGAGTGATCATTTATGCAGTTTACTCAACTGTTCGGCAAACACATTTATAGAGCACAGTCTCCCTACAGGGGCTTGTGGGCCAGGCACGTGGTATGCCTTGAGACCACTGGAGATTTTTTTTTTTAACCCAGGGCTCTGTGAACAGTCCTCTATATACATTCATTCATTCATTCACTCAGAAAATATTTGTATCCCTACTCTTACTAAGCATTATAATAGGCACTGGAGATGTAGCAGAAATAGAACCAGCAAAAATCCCTGTGACATCCAGCTTACAGTCCAGTGGGAATGAGAGAAACAAGTAAATTGAATAGCAAGTATATCCTCCTGGGACTGAGGTGGCTGAGAGTGAAAGTAAGGAGCTCTAAGTGGAAGGGCAAATCACATAGGGTTGGCTTTTCAGGCACTGGAGTCCAACAAGTCTGAGTTTAGAGCCTGGCTCCTGGACTGACTGACCTCTCTGAGCCTCAGTATGCTCATCAACAAAATGGACAAAATACCCAGCAAAATATGCTCCCAGCCCAGAGTCTCTCTGTCCCATGGCCCCGGAACGTAGGCCTCAGAAAGGCTGCTAGGTTGCTTGTTTGTTTTGCAGTCGCCCTTGTCCCCGAGTTGCCTGTGAGGTTAAGTAACTTGCCACAAGTCACACTGCAAGCCCAGGCTACCAACCTGCCCTCAGATGGGCTTGTCTGGGGCCTTTGGGAAATACCCCAGAAGGACACTAGGGGTTTTGGCGTCTTACCCTGGGTTTCATCTCTGATGCCTCAGGTTTGCTGGGTAGTTATAGCAAGTCATTGAGAAAGAGAGTAAGTGGCATAGTGGAGAGCAGGAGCCGCCTGTCTGAGGCCGCACTCCTTCGGAGGCTCCCTCAGGGTGAATTAGTCTCCGGCCAGGCCAGCGGGGAGCCTCCCACTGGCCCTGCCCACTCACCGCTCCTGCCCCCAGGCTTCCATCCTCAGAGCACTTGCTGCAGGCAAGCAGGAAGGTGAGCATGCAGCCTGGCTGCCCTCCCCTCCTTCAGCCCACACAGACCCCAGAATGCCACCTCCCCTACAGAGCCTCCCTGCCCAGCCGAGAAAGCTGGAAGCCTCCCCCCACTCCCCTCCACGCCTGCTCCTCCCCACTACCAGCTGAGCCCCTGCCAGTGTTGAGGCCCAGAGCCAGTGTGAATGCCCTACAGCCTGGCACTCGGGGCAGGGCAGAAGGTTGAATGCAAATGAGAGGCATTCAGGAAGCTCTGTGTGACACCAGCCCCCTGCACCTGTCTGCCTTCATGCTGCTCACTGCACTCGGCATAAACTGACCCTCAAAGCCTTGGGGTGCTCCACCCCATCTCCCACGGTCCTCTGCTCACCCACCTGACTTCCACCTCCCTGACCATTGTTGCCTGCGTCCGTCTGTGCTCAAGCTCAGGGCCCTCCGCAGGCCTCGCTCTTGCCGGCTTCTCCCTCCTCCCCTGCTCCTTGCATCTCAAATGTCTCCTGCTCCGCTGCATCTTTCTGCAGTAAGCCCCTTGGCCTTCTCCATCACAGCTCCTTGTTCCTCTCCTTAAAGCATCCATCACAATTTGTAATTTATGTCACTTTATGTGCACGTGTCCCCTCCCTCCCCACGTGCCCCCACATTAGATTTTTAAATGCCAGAAAGCAGGCATCCTGCCTCCCTTATTCACCAGTATATACAGTACCTGGCACATTGCAGTTGCTTAATGAAATTTCTGCCTGAATAAACAAATGCATCAGTGAATATCTTTCTCTTAGCTCCTCTGCCGGAGGGCATGATCAAAGTGTGTGTGTGACTGAATTTCAAGCCATATGCTCAAGCCCCCTGAAGGCAGATATGCAGTCCGCTTCATCTTTCTATCTCCTCCAGCATCTAGCATAGCTCTTGGCACAAAACAAGCACACAACCAAGGCTTGAGGACCAAAGGAAGGTTATTCCACCATGCCATGGCAAGCTGAGGCCATGTGGGATCCTGTCTGGTGTTCTGTGCCATGAGAGTCCCCAGGGGCCAGCCATAGAAATAAAGTCACTTTGCCTTAGTTTAAGGTAATATCCATTCCAACTTGCCCTTAAAGCTAAGCCTGAGTTGGTCATTGACAAACTTCCCAGGATCCTGGTTTTACCCATTTCATCTTAGTCGATCATCTTGTGGCTGGTCCAGTCAGCCAGGTTGTCTGTCTGCGCACAGACTGGCAGTTCCCACTGTCACTCAGAAGCCAGTTAGAAATGCAGTCTCCAACCTGTCGGGAGACCTGCTGGGTCAGATCCCAGGTGATTTATGTGTGCATTAAAATTTGGGAAGCACGGGGCTAAAGAAAGATAGACCTGGGGTGGTCTGCCCTCATTGAGCTTAAGGCAGGTGTTGTGCCAATGGACTGCAGTGGCTGGATGTTGACTGCTCTGAGAGTGGAAGCCATGGGGTCCTGATACCAAGGGAAACTTGCCCAGGAGGTCAGAACAGGCATGGTAAGCCTTCTTAAGGTTTTGCAATTTCATCCTGAGAGCAGCAGGAAGCCCAGGGAAAGAGGTTTACAGTAAGAGTGGGGCTGAATGAATTGGCCCATGTTGCCTCTTGAGGGTAGAAATAACTTCTGTAATTCATGATGGAAAAGAGACTTTGTTCTCTCATCTTCCCCCACGCTCAAGTGTCCGAGGAGTTTGTCCCATCCTAGATGAACAGGTGAGGGCCAGACCCTGAGGTCGAGCGAGCCTTTGCCCATCCAGAAGGAGTCTCCATCTGTTGGTGCACCCTCATTCTGAACCCATGTCCCCACCCACGTGTGGCTTCCCTGCCGGGAGCCATCCACAACACAGCACTCCAGGAACATGCCTGTCTCCTCCGCTTCCAGATGCACATCACAGATACTCAACACTGAGTTAGGGTTCTGGGGATGCATTGTGGCCCCGCCTCCCACGCCGTCTGAGTGTTGAGTAGAGGCCATATGAACTGTGATAGGAGCACAGCCAGAGACCTGGCTTCGCATTCTCCCTCGCCGTGTGGCCTTGGGCAAGTGTTCTTGATTAATCTCTGAAATTCTATTTCCTCAACTGCGTATCCCTGCCACTGAGGGTATTGTGAGGGTTGGGTACAATGTGGGTATTTATTTATTGAACAAATACTTCTTTAACACCTACCATGTACATCTCTGTACAGTCTTGAGGGACCCAACACTGGACAATTTTAGACAAGAGCCCCGCCGTCCTGAGACTTAGCAGTCTAGTAGGGAGAAATGTCGTTAGTTGAATAAGCACACAAATGATTTTAAATGACAAATATAGTATGTGCTTTGCAGGCAGAGAAAGAGCTGTGAGAGAGTAAAACAGGGCCCCCATCTTGCCTGGACAGTCAGGTAGCGTCTCTGAGAAAACGAGAACATGCACAGTGTCTCTGCCGAGTGTCACTCCACACCTCTCTTTCAGGTACCTGGAAGGAAACCACTTAACAGCTGTGCCCAGGGAGCTGTCCACCCTCCGACACCTGACACTAATGTAAGGAACCGGCTGCGCGTGGGACACTTCATTTTCTCTCCTGAGGGGCTGTGGAGGGTGAGGGAGGACAGTGGGGCAGGCTCAGCACTGTGCGCAGAGGCAGCTGGGAGGAGCGGACCAGCCTGACGAGCCAGGTCTTCCTGCGAAAACCACATGCAGAAATGCCCAGAACCTGGCATCACTGGCCACCCACATCACTTCTCCTCGGCTTGGTGTAGGCAGGGAGCCTCTGACCTTCTGGGGTCCCGATTAAGTTCCTGAGACTCCTCAGTTTCAAATTTCTTGGAAGCTGTGGCTGCACTTAGGTTTGCCAACAGCATAAATGAGCATTTCTTCTTCTTTCTTTAGTGCCCAAAAAATGCTCTAAGTACATGATTCAAACTGAGGTACCGTCAGGTAGTAACCACTACTGGCTCCAGGTCTACCAAGACTCAGGAAAAATCCCAGATGGGGGCAAGACTGCTGGGCACAGGCAGGGCCCAGGGAGCTGGGTGGTCCGTGAGCTTTGTCCCTCAACAGCCTCACTGCCTTGTCAAGAGGGGACCCAGAGGGTGCAAAACAGTTCCTTGGGCAAGTGGTCATTGACAGGTCATATGTCCTGTCCACTGAGGAGCTGGGAGCCAGTCCACAGAGGGGAGATGAGAGTTCTTTCAGAGGGAACAGCTTGGGAAGGGGGCAGGGGGCCACTGAGGAAGAGCAGCAAAAGCCACTTGTTGCCTTACACAGCCTGGCTTCCTAGGTGCCCCAAAACCAACCTCTAGGTAAGGCTTCCTCAACCTCTGCACTCTGGACATTTGGGGCCAGATAATTCTCTGTTGTGTGGGCTGTCGTGGGATGTTTAACAGCACCCTATGCACTAGATGCTGGCAGCACACCTCCTCCGCCAGTGACAACCAAGAATGTCTCCGGATGTTGCCAAACATCTCTGGGGAGCAAAAGTGCTCCCAGTGAGAACCCCCACTCTTGAGCGAGGTCTCAGCTTCAATGGGTTTGCCTGTGTGTGTGTTTTAATACTGATGCTCAAGCCCATCCCAGACCAATTCCATCAGAATATCTGATTTATAAATCAGAATATCTGGGCACAGAACCCAGATCTTGGAGGATATAAAAGCTCTCCAGGTGAGACTAATGTGCAGCAACTGTTAAAAACCACTGCTGGGCATATTGATCCCTGAAGAGAAGAGGAAACTGGCAAAGGGCTATACACCAACCTTATTCCCTCTAGGAAATAATGTAATAAAATGGAATAAGTGAGTGCCAGAGGAAAGGGAGAGTGGAGGAGCAGTGACTGAGGCAGGGAGGGGTGGCCTAGAATAAGGAGAGACTTAGGTGTTATGCTTTGCTGGGATAATGAAGTGAATGAACACACTTCTAATGGAATGACTGAACAGCTGAATGAATGGACAAATGAATGAACAATTGCTTCAATGACTGAGTAAATCTTGAGTGAAAAAGATGAACATTTGGATGAAAGGCAGGTAGGTGAGCAGGTGGGTGAATGGATGGTAAGTGGATGGATGGATGGATGGATGGATGGATGGATGGATGGATGGATGGATGGATGGGTAGATGGGTGGATGGGTGGGTGGGTGGATGGTAGGTGGCCGGGTGGGTGAATGGATGGATGGGTGGATGAATGGATGGCAGGCAGGCAGGTATGTGTGAGCATTGGGAATGATCCCCTTCAGGTGCAACCAACCATAAAGTGTGACCCTCTGTTTTCCTTCTCCTAGTGACCTGAGCAACAACAGCATTGGCGTGCTGACCAATCACACCTTCACGAACATGTCTCAGCTGTCCACCCTGTGAGTACAGGGTGTGCTGTGTTCCCACGGGCCTGGTGGCAAGTGCTCTGTGGCTGGCTTACCCCCGTGCCCCCAGGCCTAAGTTCTCTCCCCTTGTGATGTTCAGGGCTGTGGCTGCCTCTGCAGAGGGAAGACCTTAATCATCAAAAGAAAAATAAAGTAGATCACACCTCTACTGTCTAGGCAGTTAGAGAGGAATTGGAGCCTAATTACTTCTGAACAAGGCCCTCTTTGGAATGCCTTCTGTGATTTGTGAATTTTCTTTCCGCTAGAGGGTTTCCCCACACAATTACATTTTGCTCAGACCCATTTACTTCCCATTAGCTCTGCATGTCGTGAGCATTACCATTTGACAATAGAGGAAGGTGATGACAAAGCTGGTTAGGAGGCCTCCTTGCCACAGAACGTGGGAGGAAGTGGCTAAACGAAGCCAGTGAGCTCCCTGGAGTGGTGGGAGATGTTTCTTTTCCATTTATTGTTAGGATTCTTTTCACCAGTATATTAAAATTAGAAAGATAAAGAGACCCATTTGCTTTGACTGGTCCACAGTGTGGACAATGCACCCATGAGTAGCCGCGATTGGAATGGCCAACAGGGCACATGTGTCCGTTTCTGCAGGATCCTGAGCTACAACCAGCTGCGATGTATCCCCATCCACGCCTTCAATGGACTCTGGTCTCTCCGTGTGCTGTGAGTACCCCAAAGCCCGAGGTTCAACTTACACCTCCCTGGTAACAGCAGCCCATCCTGGCACTCCTACTCCCCATTCTCCTTTGCTCAGAGCCCACTTCCTATACATCTCTCCCCAGCCTAGCACTCTTCCTGGCCCAGTGGGGCAGAGAGGCAGACATTGCCAATTCCGGCTCACTACTGCTTGTGCGACCTGGAGCAAATCACTAAGCCCTCTGAGTTTCTGCCTCTTTAGGTACAAAAGGGGATGAATAGCATCTCCCTCGCGAGGATTAGGATGTGCAGGTGTATTCTGCACCCTAGCCATACACAGCATTCGGCATGCAGCTGCCATTCGGAGGATGGCTATTTCACAGTTGGTCCTTCTGGCTTCAGAGGAGCAATGCTAACGCTGAACCTCTGCGAGGAAACCACGCTCATACATCAGCGTTCCCAAACTGAGACCCAGGGGCCCCGTCCAGCTCACAGACAGCTATTAGTTAGCAATTACAGAGTTGCCACAAAGAATATCTTTGAAAAAACTGAGTTTCAGTAAGTTGCCAACATCTACCTATCAGAGATTTCTCACATAAGTCTTAATTTCTATACTCTCTTGGAAAATGGAGAGACCTGGCCATTCCTCCGCCCTCCTGCATGGCAGAGCAGCTCATAGACAGGGTTGTGTGGTCTACAGCCACCGCACCTGGCCCCTTGTCACCCAGTGACATCTGGCTGGCCTTGCCTGCATGTGGGTGGGGGCGGCCCATTGAGGGAGATGAGCTCAAGCAGAGGTGACACGGCCTGGGAGTGTACCCGCTTTCTAGCTCGCCTCTGTCCCTCCCCAGCTGTGTCTTCTCATCCATAAAATCAGATGGTAAGAGCCTAACCACGTCTTACTAGGATTAAATGAGATACTGAATGTAAAGCACTTAGCCCAGTCCTGGCCTCCTGCAAGCATTTGATAAATACTCATTTGTTATTACTTTTCCTGCATCAGAGCTTACAGGAGCAGGAATGGCACCCCAATGCCACAACCCTAGGCCTGACTGTCACCCAATTTTTGTGCCTTCTCATCTTGTACCTACTTTATGGGCAAAGGAGGATCCTTTGATATTTCCGTGAGAAGAGAGATGCCTGATATTCTTCCCCCAAACCTATCAACCTCTTGCCTTTCTGGCCCACTATTACTGTAACAGTGATAACCGTGTTTTTATGGGTTTTTCATGGCCATTGCTTCATGTAAATTTTTGCAACAGTGCTGTAAGATTGAGAGGATAGTGCCCACTTTAAAGATGGGAAAACTGAGGCCCAGATTAGTGAATTAACTGGCTGACAGTCCAGTAGTCAGGAGTTTGCAGAATTTAGCCTCCTTGTTCAGGGCCCAGGATGCTTCCAGGGACCCAATAACAATTGGAAACAGCACCTAGTGAGCTGGTCCAATCTGCAGCCTCCAAGCTGGTGTGATTTATTGAAGCCCACAAAACACCGGTGTCAGCGACAACTCCCACCACATGTCATCTGCACTGTTATTAAAAATCAATTCTCTAGGGGCAAAGAAGTACCCATGCTGACAGTGTGCAATCTGTTATTGTCACTTATTTATTATCCACCTTCTCTGGGGAGTTTGAGAATGGAAACATCAGCAAAAGCATTTCCCAGTTTCCAGTTGAGCATAATGGGAGATGGGCTCATCCCACTGGCCGAGGCTGAGGCTGAGGCTGGACCCGCTCCCCTCCCACCACCCACACCTTAGTCCCAACCTATTGTCCCCCATCCCGGCCTTCCAGTTCTGTGCATGGGTTTGCTGCCAGCAGGTGGGACTTCCCAATTTTAATGGGAATCTTTATGCATATGCTTTTAATTATAATTAGTTCTGGCTGGGACAACTCAACACACGAAAGACAGAGAATACTTGCCTGTCCATCTGTCTGTCCACCAAGTGGTAGGGTGGACATCACCAGGGTTTTCTCCTTCCCACCACCTTGTTTGTCCCACTCCAGAACTACTGCTTCCGTCAACTCATCAGGGGTACACACAAACATTCAACATGCTTGTGTTAGCAGGCTTTTAACGTCATCGTTTTAGAATCATGGTTGCTTGTAGATAAGAGGTCTTAGAGGCCCTCATTCCAACCATCTACCTCAGTGGGGAGCAACCATTTTCTGCATAAGGACCAATTCAGGAAAAATAAAAATGTTTATGGGCTACATTTCTTTTATGATATTTGTATCCTTTCTCAGAAATTGTACATCTAGGAATTTATGCTGAGGAATAATCCAAAGTGAGGGAAAGAGTCTCTGCATTAAGATCTTGGTTGCACTGTTATTTTTAACCTACACTTTAAATATTATGCACAAGTGCCACAGTGGGAAAATGTGTAAGGAAAGCATAAAGCAACCAGCCAACGATGTACAATTATTAAAGGAGGTAAACATGAAAACAGTGACAGAGAAACCTAGAGGCAGTATAGGTAAGTGCTCACCACATAGTGTTCTGTGGAAAAATAAACCTCATCTGTATATACATTACAGTCATAACTTACAAACATGTATAACTATGAAGGAGGGCTATAAGGGAACACGGACAATGAAAAACATCACTGCTGGCTAACTGTTCATGTGCAGTAATTCTGTAATACATGAAGGCAAAGTTGAAGATAAAGGAAGACCATAACATATTTACAACTTAGGGGGTTGGGAAAAAGATAGGCTTTTTTGAAATCAGGATTGCAATATCTGCAGCTGCTTTTGAGCATTTGTATTTTCTTTTCTCATTTCTGAAAGATTTTATTATTTTGATTACAACTTCAGAAATGGCAGAGACCCAGGGATGGTGCCAGTGTGGGGTGGGGGAGGAGAGTGAGCACCAAGGCTCACCATAGACGAAGGCCAGAAGGGGTCCCAGGACGCAGGAAGGAAGACCAGGCGATGACGAGTGTGTGTGCATGTGTATGTGCTAGTGGGTGCGTGTGAATACATTTCAGAGACAGGAGGGTGCTCAGAGAGCCCTGAGTACAAAACAGTGTGTAAAATATGCTTTTCCTCCTTCACTCCTCATCTAAAATAGCTAGAGGCAAGCATTCTCACGGGCATTCTAGCCCTTCATCAGGGGCCTGTGGTGTCCCTGATCTTTGTCCTATATGGAGACACATGTCTTGTGTGCATGTACGCTCCCGACTGTCACTCCCAGCCCCCGCCACAGGAGGGCCACCTGAAATCAGCCCTGGAAAGGCTACACCAGGGTGTGCTCAGGAGAAAGCAAGTGGGATTATCATTAATCATCCTCAGTATTTTTAGCTCCTAGTTCCTGAAGTAAGACTGTGCTTGCTGTTTGCGCACATAGGCCTGTTCTCCACTACTGTACTGATTGCATGGACCTTCCCTACAACATTTCTGCAAAAAGCCCCATTTCCCCCTGCTTGATTACCTTTAAAGACCAAGAACTCACTCCCTTCCCAGACAACCTCTTCCATTTTGACCAGCTGTTGGACATCAGACAATTCTTGTGAGCCAAGAGATGACTCCTTGTTATCTCCAAACTATGGTCTTGGTTTGGACCTTTGGTGCCACCAAAAAAAAAAAAAATTTGAATAATGGATCTTAGAAATAAGGAGTGAGTCTTAGAAGTGATCCTGTCCAGACCTCTCATTTATAAGGAGACAGATTCAGAAAAGCTTAATGACTTGCCCAAGATCATTTACTTATTCATCCTTTCCTGTGGGCCTACTCTGAGTTAAATGATGTGCTAAATACTGGGGAGAAACTAGTGTATGAAACACAGTTCCTGCCCTCAGGGAGCTCACAGTTGCATAGGAGAAACGGTCAAGGAAATAAGCAACTTCAAAACAGGGTGATAGATGTGACAGCAGCAGATGTGATATGCATGGAACCCAGTTTGAGCCATCAAAAGGCTTCTGAAAGAAAGATACAATCACAAGACATTAAAACTTGGCTGCCCACTGCACACTCATCTCAATGCTCTAGTTACATTAGCATATTCACTTTTCACAGAAGCCCTACAAAGAATATACCACTATTCACCCCATTTCCCAGATGAGGAAACAGGCTTAGTGAGATTGAATACCTTTCTGAAAGTAACACAACCTGTAGAGAGTAAAGTTGGAATTTGAACCAAGACTAGCTTGCCCAGAAGAGAATTCACCCCCCCTCAACCCACATTTAGGGTGAGGATAGTTCCTGCCATCTGTCATACAAAACTGTAAGCACCTGGGGATTCAGAGCCCAAGGTTCAGGCAACCCAGAACTGTCATGGGATGGCTATGCCCTCCTGTTGCTATAATGATGCCTCCATCTGCACCCCCAACCCCCAAGTTTGCATTAACACCTTCTAAGAGTCAGGAGGGAAAAAGGAGTCCCAGGCCCTTGAAGATGAGTCATTCTGATTCAGAAGTGCTGCCAGCACCAGCCCCTGTGAGGTGTAAGAGAGGAGAGGGAAAGGGAGAGGGCTTCCTGCTTCCCGCTTCCTGCTTCCCGCTTCCTGCTTCCTGGGAGGGCACATATTGGACACTACCCGAGCATCCTTTATGATGGCGGTTGGACAAGCAAGAGTCTTTGTTTGGGGGCCAAATCAAGAGTGAGAACCTGCAGTGTAGGCAGATTTCTTCAGCATTCCAGTAAATTATAGCCCCGTTACTGCAGTTTATAGAGATCTCAGCAGTTCAGCTTATAATAAATAGGAGCATGACTTGGAGGAGTCACAGCACCAAAGCTGCCTTTAGGTCATTTCGTGTTTTTAAATTAGGGCTTCGTGCCTCTCCAGGGGCCTAGGCCTCATTTGGAATGATTAACAGTGGGGTTGGGGGCATTTGCCAAGCAGCCAGCAGCCATGAAGTCATCCAAGTTAAGAGCAGGCAGCAGCTGGTGTGATTCATAAATAACCTCATGAATTAGAGGCTAAATGCTTCTGGTAAAAGTGTTAGGGAGTGTTTTTAGCCCCTGCTTACCTAGGGAGATGAGAAGCTTCTGGTGCCCCTCTTCATGCTGCCCTGGGAAGAGGGTGGGGTGGAGGAGATTTTGGTAACCAGGATGGCAACCTAGGGCAACTCAGTGTGGTTCAGAAGACCAGGAGTATTAGCACCACCCAGGAGCTTGTTAGATAGGCAGCCTGTCAGGCGCCCCACCATGCCCCCAGACTCTGCATGAGAATCTCTGGGAAAGGGGCTCAGAAGTCTGCATGGGTATCAGCTCCAGCGCCCAGTCAGGCTCTTCACATTCTCTGTCCAACCACTCCATTAGGTAGATTTTTCTCTCCATGTCTCAGGTACAAAAATGGAGGCCCAGAAAAGTAAAGTCACTTACCCAGTGTTCCACAGCTAAAAGGGACTGATTTCTGACTCTCTCCCAGGCTTGTCCAATGTAAAAGCCCATCCTCTTCTTTCCCCCACGCCCCTACTGCTGAGCTGGGCATGGAAGCGTCTGCACACCTGCCATGAAGGAGATGGTAGCTGCTGCTAGCAGTCAGCTCTGAGCAAAGCCAACAGGTGCCAGGCCAGCTGGGACACCGGGAGAGTATACCCTGTTCAGAAGCGTCACCAGGTGTTAACCTCCTGACTTCTGCTTCCACTTCAGAACCCTCCATGGCAATGACATTTCCAGTGTTCCTGAAGGCTCCTTCAGTGACCTGACATCTCTTTCCCATCTGTAAGTGGCTGTATTTCTCCCCAGTGTGCATCCACTCAAAACATAAAATCATTATAGTGCCAGAGATAATGTTCACAAAGAATATGATCTTTCCGTGTGCACAGAGTAAGCAAGCTTTACAAAAACGTACCCACATTGGGCACATTGTGTGTCCACTACTCCAGCTGCTTTCAGAGGCATCATCAGTTACATAAGCAATGTAAATATTTAATAAGGACTAATATAAAACTCTTACTATGTGCTAAACACTTTTGATGAATTATCTCATTTATTTCTTACAGTAATAAGTCATTTTTATCCCCTTATTATGCATGAGGTAAAGAATTTGTCCTAGGGAACAAACAGCACAGGTAGCAAGTGCTAGAGATCCAGTCAAATTCAAGTTTGCCTTGATTCCATATTCTTTAGCACTCTGCACTCTGCCTCGGGTATTCCCTTCCCATTACACAGGGGAAACTGAGCCCCATAAATACTAAGCATTACATGCCTCTGCCAGTGAACATTTTTCAGTTTGTATACTACCTACTCTATGTATATGTAATTATTTTCAATATTGTATGTATACACTACGATACTGATACATTATGTATGCATGTTATAAAACATTTAGAAAACAGAAGTTAAAGGGTATGATAAAAGTTAGCAGAAGTTCTGGTGTTTTCTTCCTGGACACCATTTCAGAGATGTCTGCCCTGCACTGTGCCATGTCCTTCAGTACATTTGTAAGCAGAGTGATGCAGAGGAGGAAAACCCTCTTAGGTTCTTGGCTGGCCTAAGAATTAAACTGACATAAGACAGATCAACAGGAGAAAAGCATACAAATGTATCTGCTATTTTTACATGTACATGGGAAAATGAGTACTCTATGAAGCCACTGGACCCAAAAGCTTATAAACCTTTTTATACAAAGAATGATAAGCTGTGAGGATGTGACAAGACAAAGGGGCTTGGGCTGGGGGCAGTAAATTGTGGGGCAGTAACGAGAAAATATAGGGGGAAACTGATGAAAGATTAGGGTGTTTTAGTAGGTTTGTTCATACAGGCCCATTTCAGCATCAACTCCCAGTCTGGTAATAAGAATGCTGTCTTCCTGGTACAGGGAGGGCGCTTTTCCCATGAGAAATTTTATGACCTGCTTTTAGGTGGAAAGAGGGAGATCAGAGAGCCCTTCCTGCATCTGCTGTTTCTGAAGTGCCTTAAGTTCAAAATAATCAATATGTCAAAGCAGCATGTTGGGACGTGGTGTTTCCTGAACCCCTTCAGTGGTCTGAAGCTGCCTCCTAGGTTGTTGGGTATCAAAACCTTCTCTGCAAAGTACATCTGCCAAAGAAGGCACCCTTCAACAGGGCCAGCGAGCCAGATCATTAGATGGCCAGAAGTCCAGAAACTTCCCAGAGGGGCTAGGTTAGGACTGAGGTTGAGTGGAGGACTGAATCTTACCAGGTAGGTGAGAGCAGAGCCTCCGAGGTGGGAGGGATTGGGGTGGGCTTGAAACAGCTGCAGGTATTAGAAGTACAGTCTAGAGTCGTTGACTATGCTCCCTCAAAAATGACTTCCCACTGGGCCTCATGTCGGCCACCCCCAATCTAGTCAAAGTCTTAAAATTCTGCTTTCCAGGGGGTCAAGGGTATGGAGCCTCTGGGCCAAGCTGGGCAGTGAGGGCTGACTTCCTGCTCTGCCTCCTAGGGCTCTGGGAACGAACCCACTGCACTGTGACTGCAGCCTGCGCTGGCTGTCGGAATGGGTGAAAGCAGGGTACAAGGAGCCCGGCATCGCCCGCTGCAGCAGCCCAGAGCCCATGGCGGACAGACTTCTGCTCACCACCCCCACCCACCGATTCCAGTGCAAAGGTAGGTGCTGACCCTTCCCTCCACCCTTCCCTGCCTGTCGTGGGGTCCCCTGTGTCTCCAACAACCTGTCAGAGCTGGACATCTCAATGGATGTGTCTTCTGAAGCCACCGCCCTGTCTCTTCCGTGAGTCACACAGACCTGGAAGCTGCATTTGATGTGGACCAGCAGCTAAGAGTCTGCTTGTCACTCTGTCCTCTATGGCATTTCTGCATATTTCTCTCTGACTTCTTTCTCTATATATTTTTGCATAGTTGAGAAGAATCTTTAACTTATATTTTTTTACCCAACATCCCTAAAGCATAAGCATTTTCCCATTTTACTATATAGCAAATTTTTGGTACATGAGATTTTGATTGACTGCATCAGTATTAGGATAACAAACTACAACTGAGTTTTTATTATGTGGTAGACATTATGTTAAGCACTTTTTCTTGTACTATTTCATTTAATTTTTGCTTCCCATGTTTTAACTTACTTAATTCCCCAACACCTCTATGGGGGTAGACCTTAGTATTGACTTTATTTTAAAAGATGAGAAAACCAAGTCTTATCAAGAATAAATGACTTCTCAAGACCACAGTTAGGAGGATTCCAGGTGTTTAACTCCAAAGTACACACTCTTTTTCACCAAGCTGTAATATCCCACCGTAATTTCCTTAACCAGTTCCTGGTTTTGAACCTTTAGAATATTTTCAATGTTTTTCTTACCATCGATGGCATAACTCCTTTCTGTTTAAAATTATATCCCTAGGTAAGATTCAGAGAACAGAAATTACTGAGCCAAAGTATATGTTCATTTTTAAGGTTTTCATATATATTGCCAAATTGATTTCCAGAAAGGGTTCTAACCAATCTATGCTCCCAGTAGCACCATTTGAGTGCATTTCTCACCAGACCCTGGCATTATTTTATCTCATTATGTAATCATTGCTGATTCAATAGGCAAAAAATTGTATCTCCTTACATTTTGTTTGTCTTTGATTATTGGGGAAACTGGTTTTTTATTTTTGTTTTCAAAAATTTACTTTCCGTTTCTATTAACATACCTGTTTGTTGTCTTTTGCTCATCTCTTGGAGCCTTAATGTCTATTTTGATTCACAGGTATACTTTGATTACCCTCTAAAATTTCATTGCGTCTCTTTCCTGCTTAAAGCAAGAAGACATTTCTATAGGTTTTAAGCTGATTCTCCCTTTTTTTCCTCTTGCCGCCTGTCCCTCTGAGCTGGTTGATGCCACAGAGGCCCAGCTGGCCCTACAACAATGGTTCTCAAGCTGCACATTTTGGAATCATCTGAGGAGCCTTAGAAGTTACAGGTGGCTGCGGCCCACCCTCTCGGTTCTGATTAAATTGGTCTGGGGTACAGCCTGGGTGTGGGGATTTTTTTAAGTGCTGCGGCTGCTTCTGGCATAAACTGACCAGCTTGCTCTAGTTTGCCAGGGAAATTCCTGGTTTCAGCACTGAAAGTTCTGTGTCCCCAGAATCCCCTCAGTCCCAGGCAAACTGGGACAGAGCATGTTCCTGTTCTGATGTGACGCCTGGGGTGGGCCAGCTGGTGCAGGCTTTCAGTGAGGCCTTTCTGTTCACCCCACCCACAGATAGTCGGACACCCTGGGGTCGATCTTCCCTCTACCACCAAATCAATGATTCCTATCCTGGGATCGTTTAAAGTCCTGACAGATATTGAGCACAACCTGTTTATCCAGGGCTCATGGTCAAGCCGGCTGCAGCAGAAGCATTCAGCCCCTTGTGCAAAGCTCTGTGCAAGGACCATGGGCTGCCTCCCTCCAGCCCTCCTGACTAAGGGACCGACCCAGTTAATACTGGCATGGTTACAGAGTCATTGCTGTGTCCTTTGGGGCCACTTCTTACTTCCTCCTGCTAAATTCAAGGATTTTGCAAGGAGTACTTTACTCTGTGCCTTTGGCCCAGGCACCGTGCCCTCTTTAGCCTGATGCAGACTATTCCATGGGGCGGAGGAAGAGGAGGTCCAAATGGAGCCTGGGCCGAGCTTCCGGAACATAAAAAGATACTCAGGAGGTTTGTAATTACAGTGCATTGTTTGCAGATTAGCACCAGAATCGGATCAGGCTAATTATGGTAATTGATTTGTGAGAAGTGCTTCTGAATGATGTCCCACTGTGATTTTTTTCCTCATTGGACAATGGCTGAATTAATGGGACTCTAGCTAGACAGGATGATGCCGACCTGGGAGGGCCCGCTGCTCTCTGTGCTTAGAGATGGGGAGAGACTGGCAGCTGGCTGAGGAAGGGACCAGAGCAGAGGGGAAGGGAGGTGTGACAGTGAGCCCATTTGGGGGCCTGCCACCAACACTCTGGTTTTACTGTCCAGGGCCTGTGGATGTCGGCATTGTGGCCAAGTGCAATGCCTGCCTCTCCAGCCCATGCAAGAACAATGGGACCTGTAGCCAGGATCCTGTGGAGCTGTACCGCTGCGCCTGCCCCTACGGCTACAAGGTAAGGCAGGAGGTCCCGCCCGCCCCCACCTTTGCTGGTCCTAGGAGGATCACTGGGCCCTGCTGAGCCTCCCTTCTCCGAGGGCAGCCTCCATAACTGCATTTCACAGGTCACCCCAGTGTGGCATTTGCCAGTAACACTCCTGTTCCACCGGTGGGGGCTGCCCAGTTGTGTCATGCTCATGCCAATCACAGAGGATCCATGTAGTCTTGACAGTGACGCTAAGATAAAGAACAAATGTAATGTTTGTATTTTCTTTATTAAACATGGGAAATTAAGTCTCAAAGAGTTTAAGTGCTTCTAAGTAGATGACTCCCTTGAACAGTATCCCAGCTTTCTTTCCAAGGGGATTTCCAGAATCTCCTCCCACCCCCACCCCCAGCTCTGCCCTCAGGATGCACAGCCCTGAAAGGGCTGGTTCCAGCTTGAAGGGATTCGGAGACGGGGATTAAAAGGCCCGGGGGGTTGCCATGCCACCCGCACTGCTGACAGGCTCAGGTCTGCCGGCAAGGGCTGGACATCTGTCCTCCCAGAAACCCAGAGTCACCCTGGCCTCCTTTCTTCTCACCCAGCACCACCTTAAACACATCAGCCTGCCTCCTAACACTGTAGCATATGAACTGTGTGCCAAACAGCCTGCTTGGCATTTTATTTTTCTTCTTTTAAACACCCCCTGTGAGGAACGACTTATTAATCCCCATTTTACATATGTGGAAACTAGGCTTCAGACTGTTGAAAGAACTTGACTCAGTGTCCCAAAGCCTGTAAGCAGTAGGGCTGGGATAAGACCCAGGGCTTTACAACTCCTTTCCCTGGAGGGTTGGCTGGATGGCTGAACCCCTGGCCGTGTCTCACTGAGTCAGCACGGCTGTGGCTGGATCCTCTTGCCCAGGACCCTCCTGGCTTCCCAGATTCCAGCCTCCCCAGGACACCCATCCAAAGCACTGGGCAAACAGAGAGTTGCAGGACTGCCCCAGAGCCCATCTGATGTACGCATTTGGTACAGACAGGGAGGGAGGAAGCTAGCATCCTTCAATCTCCTGTCCCCAGGGGGATTTGTGTGTGTAGTGGCAAGCTCGGGAACAGGGGTCCCTGGTGGCTTTTTCCACTGGAGCTGTGCCTCCAGTAAACAGTGTCAGAGCGCCACCTACAGGCCTGTGACAAAAGACCCAAAGGAGTCCCTTTGAAGCCAGCCAGCCCTGCCCCAGGCAGCCACCCCAGGACCTCAAACTGACTGTAGTCCCAGATCCATGCACCCTACAGGTGCACATATGCACGCACACATACAAATATTGCAGTGGAAAAGTAGAAATTAAGCAGGCATACTTAGGAGGCCTGGCTCCTCAAACTCCTTAGTATTAATTCAGTGTAGAAAACAGACTCTGGAAATTACACAGAGAGGCAGGTGTGATTCCAGCTCTGTTATGTATAGTGTGGTGATGGCCAGTGGCTTCACTGCAGCCTTCCCACGTATAAACTAGGACCTGTCTCATAGGTTTGCTGTGAGAATCAAATGTACAATAACATACACAGAGCACCTTGGACAGTATGTGGCATTCAGTAAGCACTCTATAAGCAGACACATTGCTACCTTTACCCTACTCCTTGCATACTGGTCCCTAATGCAGGAGGGGCCATCAGTAACAAGAGATGCGCTGCCAGTTTCACCAGGGATTCTCAGTCTATGACAGTGTAAAATGTCAAAGGCTGTTAGTTGCTCTCAGAACTGTGCCATGTACATTTATAACATCCCCAATTCCATACATGTATGGTTATCTTTTTAAGCATCAGCTATGATCCAGGCACTCAACTGGACCTTTGTATTTATTTTGTGCTCTAATTTTTGTAATCACCATATGAGATGGGTGGTATCATCCCTTTCTGAAAGATAAGGTGAGCCACTTCATATTCTGAATCTTGCTTCCTTCTCTTTAAAATTGGCCTGAGTTCTGGAAGTAGTGGAACTGGGTTTCAAGCCCCAGGCTTCTTCCAACTACACTTGACAACACTATAAAACGAGCCTGGCCACGTGGAGCAGAATGCATCCACGGGGCTCCTACAGGACAACACCACTTGTTTGGACTTTGTTCACAAGATTCTGAACATCTTGTAGATTCAGAAACATTTGAACAGAGATTTTTCCCTTTAGGGAGCTGTTGAGCTCAGGCAGGTCTGGGATACACTGGTGATGGTGGTGGTGGTAGTGATGGTGGTGGTGGTGATGGTGGTGATGGTGGTAGTGGTGGTCATGGGATGGTGGTGGGTCATGGTGATGGTGGTGGTGATGATGAATATGACAATAACAATATTAGCAGCCAGCAGCCTCGTATGTACCGACATATATGTACTAAACAAAGTATATGCATTTTCTTGCATACTCCTCATGAAAGCCCCAGGGGGCAGGTCCTAAAATGACTCATTTTACAGTTGAGAAAACTGGGATAGTAGTTGAGAGAGCTGGGATTCAAAGCTCAGAGCTGATTGTGGAACCCATGCTCTCAGCCACTACACTCACTGCCCACGGGCAAGCACCACGATCGCAGGGGCAGAGGGTGAAGGACATTGGCCATTTAGGACCTGAGTCTCCAGGACACGGAAAAGTAGGGCATAATAGGGGCAAGATCACCAAGGAGGACACCCCTGGTTCCTACCTGACTGCATGACCTTGGACGGCTGCTCCCACATCAGGCTCCCCAGCTGTAAAATGCAGCAGGTTCAACAAAAGGGGACCTTTAATTGTGGTTGCGTCCAATCCCTGTCCTGCATTTGTTCCCCCTGCTTTCCTTCCTTCTGGGATTGGAGCCCAGCCAAGCAAAGCGACTGGGGAAGCTGCTAAGTAGACAACAATCAACAGAATACCCACAAAACCAAGTTTAAAGTTCAGGCATTTATCTGGCTATTTCCAGTGACTAGCTGTGTGACCTTGAAAAGCAGCAATATTACCATACCAAAACAAGTGCAGAAGACACTGCTAAATGTCTAGTAGCAGCAACTGTTAATCTATAATACCAGGCCTTGTGAAGCAGTTTAAGCAAATTACCTAAGTTAACACTCTTAATCACCCTCTGAAATAAATTTTACTATCCTGTTTTGATGAAGAAACTGAGGTTCAGAAAGATCAAATAATTACCCAAGTTCCCACACCTAGGAAGCACATGAGCAACACCCAGAACCCAGCTCTCCTGCAGGAAAGCCTATACTCACGCTACACTCCACCCCACCACGAACTAACTCTCTCTAAGCCTCACTTTCTCCACCTGTAAGTGGGAATAACCATACTTCCCTGCAGAGCTTTCATAAGGATTAAAAGGGATCATAAATGTGCTTTGCTAGTCTCACTGCCAGGATTCAGTAGACATGCCACAGAGGGTAACTACTTTACCACAATTCTAAGATTTGAGGAAATGTATATTTTGGCTGATTCTCTTAGCCATTTAGCTTCATGTACATATGTTCAGTGTTTCAGAACAGTGCTTCTCACACTTTAATGTGCACAAGAATCACCTGGAGATCTTATAATGCAGGTTCTGATTCATTAAGATCTGAGGTCAAGCCCAAGATTGTGCATTTTTAATAAACTCCTAAGGAGTGCAGTGCTACTAGTCCAAGGACCACCCTTTGAGTAGCAAGCTCTGAGAGCAGCCCTCCTGGCCCCATCTCAGAAGAGTCTGCCAATGGGGGTAGCTGTTCCAAAGCACCTTTAAAGGAAGCCAGAAGCCCCAGGCTTGTCCATAACATGCGCATGGGAAGAGACAAGCCAAGAAGCATCACAAATCTAGTGGGTTTGAGCAAAATGAGGCTGAAAAGAGTTGAATCGGGCTAATCAGGCTGGCACTAAGAATGGTGATTATTTCTCAAGGACATGTAAGTGACAGAAATCCCCACCTCCAGGCCCAATTACCACACCATCAAATGCTAGGCTCTGCCTCCTGGATGTCTGAACAGAACAGAAGAAGGGAGGAGACACCATCAACTCCGCCTCCACCACCCCTCCAGCCCCCAGGAGAGGACTCCACCCTGAGTCCTTGGTGACTGAGAGCTCCCCAGAGCAGAGAGGCTGGCCCAAGCAGAGGTGAGGGAGGCCTGCCTCAGCCTCCTCAAGTTTCTCCAGTCCTGCTTTTCACTGTCCATTCACACACCACGCACAAACACACACACAAACACACACACACACACACACACGCCTACACACATGGACTATTCAGCACCAACCAAAGACCTGAAAAAGTCTTTTAATTACCCACATTCAGTCCTGCCTCAGACCCAGTTAAACATTATCTGAAGAGCTTTTATTTATGGAGCCATCATTACATGCCAGATGGCCTTGTATGTGTGTGATTTCTAATCATTTGTTAACTCCACAGGGTAGGTATTATTATTCCCATTTTATAGATGATGAAAACAAGGCTCAATGAGAGCTCATTTCCTCAAGGCACAGAGCCCCGGGCTACAACGTGCACCCAGATCTGCTTAACTCCGGAGCCCGTGCTTTGAGAGACAGAGTACATGGCCCAGCGCTGGCTTCGGACTGGATGTCTGGGTTCAGCTGCTGCCTGTTCTGCTCACTGCTGTGCAGTCTTGGACATATTGTCTCCCTTTCCACATCTGCCTTCCCTGTTTGTAAAGATGGGGTAATGACAATCACATCCATCTCACTGGGCTTCCTGGCTGGGATGTGAGTTTTTGTGAACACTATATGCAATCATGAATATAAAACAGTTAGCGTGAGGACTGGAGCAGAAAATGTGCTCAATAAATGTGCGTGAGAGTGAGTACTGCAGTTTCCATTCCACACACTGTCCTTCCAAAAGGGATTCTGTGTTGCTCTGCTTTAGGATAACCCTGATCCCACCCCAAACTGCATTCTCCTCTCCCTCTAAGAAACCTCTTACGGGCCCTTTAGCTGTGAGAGGGTGTGAAGAGAACCAGGCAGATGTGGCCATGCCTACCAGCTGCTGAAAACCGAGCCTGTGGCTCCAGCATTTGAGACAGTCAGAAGCAGGTTGTCCACAGCGGAGGCCAGGGCCCGTTTGGCAGCAGTATCCCAGCCAGGAAGCCCAGTCCCACTCCATCACGGGCACTGGAGGCGGCAGAGGGGAAGAGGGTTCTCTCAGGCAGATGGCGAGCAGGTGGTGTGGCAGCGGGAGAGCTCCCGTGATCACCCCTGCTTGGCCCGGTGCCCACACTGAGCCCTCAGCCCAGAAACAAATGCAACAGACACCTCCCGAGGCCCCGCAGGTCCTCCAGGGGACTGCTTGCCAAGACTTGGGTGCAGTGCTGGGCCTTCCATCCTGGGAGAGAAGCTGGAACCAAAGGGCCAAGCACGGGGCTGCTCCCTGGGTGTTTGGGTCATAACGTCCGTCTCCACCTGGGCCTCCCTGGTCTTCTGCCTGACATGCTCCTCCCCACATGGTCGGCTCCTGCTCAGCTCGAACAAACCCTTCAGAGGGGCCAGCCCCAAAGGACCCCCACCCAAAATTATCAGAGGTCCTCCACTTTAGAATCACCTGCAGAACTTCAGCATATACATGAGCACCTGGGTCCATAGCAGATGAATCAAAGATGAATCTGTGGGGTTGTCACTTTATAAGGGCAAGGTCTTTTGGCCACACTTCAGCCTCAGGCCACCCTACTTAAATTGTGGGTTATATTTAAGCCTCAGTGGGACTAATATCATCTATAGGCATTTATAGAGTACCTACTATGTGCTGCATGTGTTACATAATATTAAATACTTCCTTATATGAAAAGTGTAGTTTAAGTCTCACAACAACTCTGTGAGGTAAGGTTGGAGAGGTTAAAAGGCTTATACAGGTCAGAGTCAGCCAACCAGGAACAGATGAAGCTGGAGTGTGAAACCAGGTTTTCCTGGATCCACAGCCCATGCTCTTCTTGCCCTGCAGCTCGGGGTAGAAAGAACGGTGTGAATTCTGGGAAGTAGTGAAGCTGCTCAGAGGAACAGCTGAGGTCGGAACTCCTGAGCTGTCAACATTCCTCCCCTTCTCGCTGTGGGGGACCAAAGGCAAGGGCCCCCTTTGGGTTTCCCCGTGTCACATGGCTGACTTGTCCCCAGAGGATGCTGAGAACTCCCTGGGGTCTCCTGGTCAAGGCAGCCGTTAGCAACCTCCTAACCAGGTGCTCCCCCTCTCCTGCTCCTCAGGGCAAAGACTGCACTGTGCCCATCAACACCTGCATCCAGAACCCCTGTCGGCACGGAGGCACCTGCCACCTGAGCGAGACCCACAAGGATGGGTTCAGGTACCAGCTCACCCCCGGGCCTTCTTTCCCCACACAGGGCTTCATGGGCCAACTCTTGGGGCAGGCTGTTCGCCAAAGAGGCTTTCTGTGTGCCCACGCTGTGCCAACCCTTTCCATGAATTATTTAAAGACTCTTCACACCCCATAGGGAGCTGCTCATCCCTATTACACAGATAAGGAAATTGAGGTGTCAACAGGACAAGTCCTTTGTCTGCAGTTAGTTAGTAAGCATTGGTGCAGGGATTTGAATTCAGATAGTTTGTCCCCAGAGCCAGAAGGACTCCAAGGGACACTATAGTTGTTGGCTAAAGTCAGAGAAGAATGGGATGATGGCTCAAAGACCCACCAGCCTGGCCATTTCACCATTCTTTTCTGTGTTATAAAAAAAGGTAATAATTGGTGACACTGATAACATGCTCATTATGTGCCAGGTAAGTAGGTGGTCATTATATAAATCCTCACAGTGACCCTATCGGCTACAGATATGTACTATCCCATTTGATAGATGAGGAAATTGAGGCACAGAGATTGATTTGCTCTAGGTCACATATCCTGACACTCATTCCTGGGTCTTCCAACCCTACCTCCTTCCTCCCTGGCATTGAGAGCTCAGAAAGAAAAGGATAGAAGCCACTTAAGCTCTTCACATCTCTCTCCTGGGAGTGCACCTCGTAGGCCACTGCCAAGCCTCGGGCCCCCTGCCTGCTGCCCACCCTCCCCATGCTTCCAGGCACCCGGTTTCCCAGCCCATGGCCTTGGCAAAAGCAGACCTATGGAAACTGGTTCCTTTGGCACCCCCAGTGACTGAGTAGGTCAGGTGGTAAAGGAGGGGGTCCCCAATGCCAAGCTCTGTGTGGATGTCTTAGAGCTCAGGCTGCCAACAATTAATTATCAGAGGCACTCTGGCAGGGGCTGCATGTGGACTGTGAAAGAAACTGAACTCTGGGTTCTCAGTTTGCCCCCTCTGAGAACCCAGCCCACCCCCATGTCCACCTGCCAAGCCAGCCCCTTCACACTCTGGCCCTTGAAAACTGAAATTCAGGCAGAGCTCATTTTGCTGCCTGGAGTCCACCACACCACCCACTCCACCCTTCTTGCTGGGAGCAGGGGTGAGGAGAAACCCCATGGAGATCCCACGGAGGTGGCCACGTGGCCCCAGCAGGCACCACCTCCAGAGTGAGAGCCGGGCCCAGCCCTGCCAGCCGAGGGATGCGCTTGGCGAGAAGGAAGAGCACCCCTGGCAGGTGACTGTCTCTCCTCTTGGCTGGAGGTGCGATGAGCTGCAGAATTCCATTTCCCCCTCAGTTATTGGGCATACTCAAAAGACTGGAAATATTCAAAACTGGAAATACTTTTAGAACTTAATTATCAAGAAAAAGAGCTCAGATGTACAGGATTAGTGAAATGGAGTGGAGGGTGTAGGCAATGAGACCCACATACTGAGGATGACCCGCCGCCACTGGGACTTCCCGATGAGCGGGAAGGGTCTCTCTTTAGGTCAGACCCCGGCAGGCTGGCAGAGCGAGGGACACCTGTTAGGGACCCTGCCCCCTTCTTCCCTCCCGCCATCACAGAGGACCCCGGACCAGTGGCTCAGAACAACAGAGTGTATTCCATCATATTTCAGGAAGCCAGAAGTCCACAGCCAACACATCAGGAGGGCCATGCTCCCCGTGCATCCCCTAAGGGGTGCCCCGCTTGCCTTTGCCTGGCTCCTGACAGTGGCTGGCAACCCCGCGTCCCTGGGCCTGCACTGCAGCGCTCCGGCCTCAGCCCTGGCCGTCACGTGGCTCTCTCCCTGTCCCTGTCTTCACATGGCTGTCTCCCTATAAAGACAGCAGACATACTGGATTAGGGACCCACCCTACACCAGTATAAACTCATCTTAAGTTAACTGATTATATCTGCAAAGACCCTACTTCCAAATAAGGTCACAGTCTGAGGTACTGGAGGTAAGACTTCAATATATCTTATGGAGGAGACACAATTGAGCCCAAAGCTGCTCTTCTGAGTCAGAATTCTAGAAGCATCACCCACCTTTCATACAGATGCTTCTCCCATCTTGATGCTTGTCTGCTCACAAGAAGAGCAAAGACTGGCAGAGCTGGCTGACAAGGGACAAGAGGAAAACGAAAGACGTGGCCTGTCCTGTGTCCCTGCAGCTAACCAGATGCTCTTGGAGTCTCCCGGAGAGCCTCCTCTCAGGGTTTCCAGTGAGGGCAGGGGACACTTTCACCTCCTTCCCGCCCTCTGTCTATGCCATGAGCAATCCCTGTTCCCTTAACCAGCCACCCAGGTCCCATATCTATGCAATCCTAAGGCTGTGGAAGCAACCAGAGTAACTTGTTCCAGGAAAATAAGGCACACTTTGGTTTCAGACCTTTGAAAACCTACCCCTGTCTGGCTCTGAAGAAATAGCCTTTTTCACAAATGCAGAGTCCCTAACAGAAATGAAGGAATAAATCATTCCTCTTGACCTCAAGAGCTCACACCTAAGAAACCCCTGTCCTTTGTAGAGAATATGACATGGCTTTCAGGTTGTAGATGAGAGGAGGTTAAGAAGGATTCTAGAAATCCCTTCCTATTAGTTTAGCTTTTTTAGCTAAATCCCAAATCAGAGCTCCAGAAAGAGGCCTGGAATTCCAGGTCACCGATTGGATGTAAGTCCCTGACTAAGTGATGGAGTCATGGAAAGAGTAAGATTCACTGCTCTGCTCACTGAAGCAGCTGCTCCCTCGCCCCTTCCCACCTGCCTAGCCTTTATCTGTTCTGACTGATTTTGCCTGCCTAAACCTGACAATGTGACCAAGGTTGGGCAAAGGACAGGTGGGTCAACATTTCTATCCAAGAGATTTAACACCCCAGAGACAAGCTAAGGAAATCCATCATGCTGCTCTCTAGTGCTTTAAGCCATGCTCACCAGAAAGCTTCAGTGTTGTCAGGAGAGGGGTCCTCCCACACTGTCTGTTATCCCTCAGAAGCCGGAGGGGGCTCAGAAGTAGTAGGGCTCATGACAGGGAGAAATGGCATACGTGAGGGAAAAGTTAGGCAGGTGGGCTGTGCAGGCAGTTAGAATTAAAGCTAGCTAATGTGGTCTGGCATTTTCCATGTGCTATGTACTCTTGTAAATTTTACTTGTATAATCTCATTTAGTCCCCACAGCTACCCTAGGGGTAAATCAGCAGATGAGGAAACTGAGACACAGAATTTAGGTAATTGTCCCAAGGGCAAGTCACTTGGAAGTGGCAGGCACAGATTTCATTCCCAGGAAACCCGGTTGCAGAGCTGACCCTGGCCGTTGTGCCCTGCTCCTGCTCAAGATTAGGACGGCTGCCCTGGAGTCGAACATTTCCCAAAGGGAAATGTTTGTTTTGTCTATAGAAGAGCTGAGAAAGAAAGGTTGAAAAGACAGCTGGAGGAATTTAAACAAGGTCCAGAAAAACCACTTCCAGCTGAAGGAGACTGTTGGTGGGCAGGGCCAGGGAGAGGGAATATTGCCCGGAGACAGGGGGCTAGATGAATGACCGCTTAGGTTTCTAAGGACCTTCCTGCTCAGCACCCCAAGACCTTGTGTCCAAAGGGCTGCCTTAAACTCCATTTGGAGAGAAATCTAATTGTATTTCCCTCCCACCCCTTACCCCATCCTTCTTCTCTGCCACCCCACTCCCTGACCTCTGGCTCCCCTTCTCCTTGGGCTGCACAACCCCAAAGCTGCTCCTGCCCTCTGGGCTTTGAGGGGCAGCGGTGTGAGGTCAACCCTGATGACTGTGAAGACAACGACTGCGAGAACAATGCTACCTGTGTGGACGGGATCAACAACTACGTGTGTGTCTGCCCACCTAACTACACAGGTAAGCTCCCTGATGCCTGAGTGTGAACTGGTGCATGTAGTCACTTGGGTGGGGGTCATGCACAGAAGAATAGCATTTTCTTAGCTTTTTCCAGGGATCTTACCTGCTTCCCCATGTCAACAGAGACTTAAACCCCCCAAGCCCCAGTCTATGCCATCAGGGCTTCCCAAAGGCCTATCTGTGTTGGCTTGTCCATGCCTCCCACTCCTGCAAATCACCAGCTTCTTCCCACTTTGAAACAGGCCCCGAGGCCCTTCCAGCTGTCTGCCCCCTTAGATGATGGCATTCCCTCCTGTGGGAACCCTGGGGTCCCAGTGGTGCTGGAGGCTACTAGAGAGGCACTTGCATTGTGTTTATACTTTATTCAGGTCTCAGCAACCTTTCCTGATTCACTGCATTTTCCAGGTACTTTGTTAGGAGGTGGGATGCAAAAATGAGCAAGACAAAGTTCTTCTCATAGGAAGCTGATAGTCCAGTAGAGAGAGACCTGTATTTAATAGAATGAGAATATAACACCTGTAAGCCCAGGGGGAGTGTGTCACAGAGCAGGAAGCTGAGCCAGCTGGAGAATAGAAGAAGGCTCCCCACAGGAGGTTATCCATCAGGAGAATCATTCCACCCTCAAAACACAGCACCTTCATTTCCTACATCAATAGCCCCTAATGTGCACAATTAGATATGCCATTGAATTGTGAAGCAAAATACCACTAAGTGGTACGAACACAGCCTACTTTGTATATACCAAAGTAGCATATACCAAAATGAAAGTCCATGAATTCTTCAAGAAAAAGTCTCTGTTGGCAAAAAGTTTGGGAAACACTGCATATATAGCTTCCTATTTTGGGGCTTCCTGACACAAATTAGGAGGTTCTAAGAATTCCTACTTTAAGTAATGCTGTTTATTTAAGCCAGAAGGCCCCAAACTTATTTGATCTCAGAGCTTCCCTCTTAGCCTACCTCAGAACACGATTGCCAATCAACACCCTGTGCTGCAAGAAACATATTTTAGGAAATACCAGCCTAAGGCAAGGATGGAAATAAGGACAGTACAACTCCAGGGACTCCTATACCCTGCTCTGTTGGAACCTGGCTTTGACGTCAAGAATGAGATGAGAATACATGGAAGATGAATGGAATCAGTCCTAAAGCCTACAGACAGGGAAGCCAAGTAGCTCCCGTTGCCCCTCAAAACCCTGTGCCTTTATGCAGACTTCCAGCCCAATAGCCAGGTATCACCCCACCATCTACCAAAGCACACTCTTGAGACTGTGGGAGTGTGCTAAGGCCAGCTGAGATTACCACCTACTCTACTTAATCCTAGGCCTCCTGGGGTCTCAGAGAAGGCTTCGTGCTGGGAAAAAGTGCAGAGAGATCTGCTGAAGGCCTACTTCCCTTATGCCTTCTATCTTCTACCTTCAAGAGTGGAGTTATAGCCAAGAGTTAAATTAGCAACAGGCAACACTTTTTATGCATCTGCTGTATACAGTGTACTGAATCGGTTACTAGAGATAGCAGAAAGTCTAAGATATGCCCTCAGCCAACAAGGGGCATCCGGTCTACCTAAGATGAGTGGAATCATTGTATAGAGTAAAATCATTGGTCCAGAAGAGTCTGCTTAGTGCCAGGAGGCAGGTAATAAAAATCCCAAAAGTTAGAAGGTAGAGGTGCTCAAAATAGGCTTAGGGGCAGAGGAAGGGCTTGAACTGAATGTATGGCTGGCGATGGGCAGAGGGTGAGGAGACAGTCATCGAGGTGGTTCCCAGCCCCAGTGGAGCGCCATGGCCCGTATCTGCCCTTAATTGGGTGCACTTTTGATCTGTTGCACTTTGTTCCTGACAATGGGATGTCCCGCTATTCTGAGTCCCAGAAAACACTGTAGTCCCATGCAGACACTTGTCCACCTTGCTGGGTCTCCCCAGGAAGTGAGCAAGGGGAGGGGGCTTATGTAAAGAATACAGTGGCCTGGTGGTCTTGAGAGGCTGGTGGCAAAGTGAGGACAGGGTAGGGGATAGTTTTTCCCCACCACAGCCAAGAACAGACGCCAGGGCTGCCATTGTTTATGTACACCCCAGCCACACTCAGGACGGTCCTCTGCCGTGTCCACTGAGAGCCGCAGCCCGGCAGCCTTCTCCGGCCCTGGCTCCTACCCCGCCTCTGAGAGAACTGCCATGGATTGAAGTTTTCTTCTCTTAGATCACTCTCCACCTGGCTTGGCCAGTGGAATTTGAGGAGTCACAAAGTTCAGAGGTACACTACAACCCTCCTTACCCCGGCCGTATCCTGCCTCATCCATCATATTCCCAAAACACATTTTCAGGCACTGTGAGCTTTTGGGGCTTATATACTAAGGCCATCCCTGGGTATTTATGACCCGTTAGGCATTTTGTAGCACTATGAATTTCAAAGGGAATGTATCCAGAGACCAGAACTTCAAATTCCTTTCATAGTTTCTTCTCTGAGAAAATCCAAGGAGCTTGCTTATCTATAACAGGTGAACTATGCTGCCAAGCCATGTCTGCTTGTATAGGAAGCTTCTGGGCTTCCACAGAGTTCACCTCTTCCCTCGTGCTTACAGCTCTGCAGGGCCTGCTTATTGTAGATCTCCCCCACTAGGCCATGGGGGAGGACAGAACCGCATCACTGTTGTCCCTATCACCTGGCACAGTGCCTACCATGTAAGAGCTCAATAAATGGGTGTGAAATGAAAACTCAAACACATAAGCATAACCCAAGGTCAGGGGCTGTCATCCTGTGGTTTCAGCTGCAGCAGCCCCTGAATAACCAAGTGAAACAGCCAAATGATAGTGCTGGCAATGCCCAGGAGAGGCCCTGGGCCTTTCCCCATCACTGCTAGGGAAGCCAGTGCAGAGGTGCAGGTGACAGGATATGCCAAATGAGCAAATGCACGGCTCCTGATGTCCTTAACTTCCTGAATGGGGCCAGATGAATCTGATCTTCCAGCCATGCTCTCCCCCAACACCCTCCCTCATGCTGAGTTCTCCACCCACCCCCAGGTGAGCTGTGCGATGAGGTGATTGACCACTGCGTGCCTGGGATGAACCTTTGTCAGCATGAGGCCAAGTGCATCTCCCTGGACAAAGGATTCAGGTAACACTTGGCTTCATGCCCCCAGCACGGGTCCTGAGCACTCTGACTCCAGCCATCTGCACTGGCAGCAGAGGCTCTCAGGCTCCCTCCATGTTCATTCTCATTCTGATCCTCCCTCCCTCCGTCCCGGCTTTCTACTCCCACGCCCCCCAACCCCGTCATGTTACTTGTTTGTTACCATGTACTTCTATCTCTGACTCGTAACGGTCGAATTCTCTCAGTCTGTCTCTGTTTCTGTCTCTCTCTGTCTCTGTGGGTGTCTGTAAGTCTCTCTCTGTGTCTTTTGATTGATTTTGAGATTGATTGATTGATTATATACCCCCCTTTTCTTTACCCCCCTTCTTTCTTCCCTCCCCACCCACCTCCATCTCTCTAGGAGCTCTCCTTCCAGAGCTGCAGGCAGCAATCCCACTGAGCAGAGTCCAGAGGGTGTTTGGTCACCTTGTGTGTGGCCGCCACGTTCAGGGAGGCCACGTTTCGGCTGCAGCAGCCTTCCCCAGCCAGGTGTAAGCCCAAACAGCAGGCTCAGGGGTGCACAGCTGAGGCGCTGCTCTGGGGGGTGCAGCTCAGCCTGCAGGGCCTGGGCTGGGGCAGCAGCTGCTGTCCTCTCATCTGGGGAACAGAAGGCTACTTCCCAGCCCTCCCAAGGCCATTTGCCCTTCTTATCCCAGCACCAGTCTTGGGGGAATAATGAAAAGCAGTACCACAAAATCAAAGGGAGTACAAACAGCGTCAAATTCTTCATTACCTTCTATGTATCATACTATTTGCTCAGGGTGCATCAAGTGCACTGCACAAAGTATGTCACTTAATTTTTGAACAATATATTACAAGTTATTACCAACTGCATGTAAAGATGAAACTGAAACAGAGGGAATGAGCGGCTGAGGCACTGAGAACAGGTCTGGCAATCAGTAAGTGTGAACAAGACAGTGTTATACTGGGGGGGTCTTGGAGAATCACTCCAGCTCCCTCGGGGCCCCGCTTTCCCCAGGTAATGGAGGGGGACAGACCTCATCAGGTGCTGGCAGGCCTCAGTGAGACAGTGAACAGTGCTTAGCACAGTGACCAGCACAAAGGAGGACTGAGCTGCATGTTAATTCTCTGGAGGAGGTCATAGGTCCAAGCCCATATCTGTGATTCCAGTCCTGGGCTCCTCAGCCTGACACCTGAAAACAGGACAGCCTCACATGAAGCAGACAGACTGGCTCACAGGGACCAGAGGCTATGGACACCCAGTGAAACCAACTGTGGGGCCAGGCTTTGGTGAGCCTGTGTGAGTTGAGGGGGACTCAGGAATGTGGACAGATAGAGAAGAGGCCATCTGGAAGCTGACTGGGCCCATGGGACAGCCTTGCTCTGCTGTGTTCCAGGTGTGAATGTCTCCCAGGCTACAGTGGGAAGCTCTGCGAGGTGGACAGTGATGACTGCGTGGCCCACAGGTGCCGACACGGGGCCCAGTGTGTGGACGCGGTCAATGCCTACACGTGCATCTGCCCCCAGGGCTTCAGGTATGGTGGAGGGGCCCCTCAGGAAGGAGACATCTGGATCAGACAGCAGCGGGCAGTAGGCTGGGGACTGACAGGCTAAGGCAACCAGGATGGAGACCCACCCCCAGGCAGCCCAGCCTGGGTTTCCATGATGCCTTCATTCACCCGCATCTTCTCCAGACCTTCCAAGTCCCCCAGTTGATGTCATTAACCCTGTGTTGTAGATGGAGAGAAAATCTACCCAGGGCAACCGCGCAGAAGTTAGACTTAGGGTCCAGCTCACATAATGTCAGGCTTGGGTGTGATTGCATCTAACGGAAGATGTCACCATCTTAGAGCCCAGCTTTCAGGGTTGGGGAGGCCATGTGGTCACAAATCTTCTTTTTAGGCTAGAGAAAAAAAACATTATAATGCCCCAATGGCAGAAAATTGAGACAAACGGGGCCTTGGGGCCAGCTGCTGGAATCGGTGAAACCAGATGAGAAAGGGGAGAGGCGGTCAGGAGATATCTGTGGGTATGTGGAAGGAGAGGCCTGGCTTCCATGGCGAGCTCCCGCACTGACAGGAAGGGACTAGAGGGGAGTCAGGGACCACACTTATGAGGGGCCAGACTGGGGGACAGGTCCGTGTACATCAGCCACTGGATGGCATAGAGCCGACCATGCGATAGCCTCCAGGGACGGGAGCCAGGAAGGAGCCACAGAGCTCCCAAGGCCAGTCTTTCTAAGGCCTGGCTGAGACCCTCTGCATCAGACACTTGTGAAAATATGAGGTCCGGAGCCCCACCCCATAGCTACTTAGAACTGGGAGTAGAGTGAAGGGGCCGGGAATCTGTACTCTTTTAATGTTCTTAAATTGTGGTAAAAATACACATAACATAAAATTTGCCATCTTAACCATTTTTAAGTGGACATTTCAGTGGTATTAAATACATTCACACTGTTTTGCAACCGTCACCAACTATCCATCTCCAGAAATATTTTTATCTTGCAAAACTGAAACCCTGTACCTATTAAACCTGACTTCCCCTTCCCCCAGCCGCAGCCCCTGGCAACCACCTGTCTCTGAATTTGACTGCTCTGGTTACCTCATATTAGTGGAACCGTACAGTATGTGTCTTTCTGTGACTGGCTTATTTCACTTAGCGTAATGTCTGTTCTTAAGGTTCAGCTGTGTTGTAGCCTGTGTTAGAATTTCCTTCCTTTTTAAGGCTGAATAATATGCCATCATTTGCATATACATTTTGCTTATCTGTTCCTCTTCAAATGGACAAGAATCTGCACTTTTAACACATTCATCCCAAGTGATTCTGATGACAGTGAAATGTGGGGTCCTACACTCTTGTCCAACCCTGATATTCTAAAAATGGGGCCATCGGAGCTTAGCAGAGAAGGCTTGTCCCAGTGAGGGCCAGGGCTGGAGCCAGTCCCAGCTCCCATCACTCTCTCTCCCCCTCTCTACTAGTGGCTTTTTGGCCCAAATAATTATGGTTGTCTCCTCTCCCGCTCTCTCCCCACCCCTGCTACCCCTCTTCCTTCAGCGGGCTCTTCTGTGAGCACCCCCCACCCATGGTCCTGCTACAGACCAGCCCCTGTGACCAGTACGAGTGCCAGAACGGAGCCCAGTGCATCGTGGTGCAACAGGAGCCCACCTGCCGCTGCCCCCCAGGCTTCGCCGGCCCAAGGTGCGAGAAGCTCATCACCGTCAACTTTGTGGGCAAGGACTCCTATGTGGAACTGGCCTCTGCGAAGGTCCGGCCCCAGGCCAACATCTCCCTGCAGGTGCGGCCCCACCCCACCCAGTGCTTAAAAGCACCCCAACATGCCCCCAAGCTCTGAATGTCTCCAGAACAGGTGGGATTCCCCAGAGCATAGCAGCCCTGCCCCCTCCAACTAAAGCGTCATCAAGGACAAAAACTCAGCTTCAGGGCAACTGGACCAGTTCCATCCAGAGGGTTCTATACACAACTCCTGGCCAGCCCTCACTGCCAACAGCAGCCACCACTTCTAGCCTCATTCCCTCATTTTTCTAGAAAATATTCATTGAACTGTTATATGCCAGACAGCGTGCTGGCAATGGGGATTCCATGGTAGATAAGATGCACAAAGCCCCTTGCCCAGGGCAGGATGATAAGGGAAAGGGGAATGACATCCCTGAGTGCTGTGAGAGCAAACAAGTGGGGCAGTGACCCCAGCCTGCTGGGCAGAATCATGGAAGGCTCCCCAGAGGCAATGCTGGCTAAGCTGAGATCTGAAGTAGGGTTAGGAGTTAGCCTGGAAAGGGTGGAAGGGTGAGGGGCTGACAGAGCAGGATGAAGTGGGGAAGCAGTCTAGCCCCACAGATCAACATGTGCAAAGGCCCAGAGGCACAGACGAGCAGGAAGTTTTTCAGGGACCGGAAGTCCATTTAGTACGAAGCAAATTCTTTACCAACTAACATCTTTCAGATTCCTTACATGTGGTCCTGAGTACATTTACTCCTAACTGCACTTCTGGGAGACCTAAATGCTACATGGCAGGCTGGGGAGAGCAGGGAATGTGTATGATTGAGAAAAGCAGGCCCCTACTTACAGACTTGCTGGGAATGAGAAACTCCAGAGACACAGCTAGAGAGAGCAGGCCAGTCGGTAGCCCCCGCTGCGGCCCTGCCTTCCTCTTGGCCACACTAGCGCAGGTTTAAGCTCATGGAGAAAACATTCATTCAACAAAGATGTATTGAGCACCTATGCATGCCAGGCACCATTGTAGGCACTGGGGCTGCAGAAAGGCACAAGTTCAAACTGCCTCACCTTGTGGCTCTTACAGTCCAGTGGGCCAGCCTCTGAGATGAGGGCTGTCCCTGGGCACAAACAAGAAGGAAGCTCTGGCTGCCATCAGCCCCTCTTGAGTTCTCCTCATTGCCCTCCCGCCTTCCTGCCTCAGTCCCACCCACCCAGGGGCAGGAATGTCAGGTGCCTAGAGCAGTACCCAGTGCCCAGGCACCCAGATGTCCTCTCAGGCTGCCTGCTTCCCCGCTGTCCCTCAGACTGCACCTGGGCGGGCGGTGGGAATGCAGGCCAGAGAACCCCAGCTCTCAGGGCAGCAGCTTCTGAAACCAGTGGTTCTCTGCCTCGGCAGCACATTAAATCTCCTAGAGAACTAAAATAATCTTTGCCTGGGCCCCACCCCCAGAGATTCATGTGTAATTGGTTTGGGGTAAAGCCCAGACACTAGTATTTTTAAAAATCCCCCAGATGACTCTTAACACACAGCCTACTTACTTCATAGTAAATATTAAATTAAGTGGTTATTATTAGCATTTTATCTATAATTATTATTATACTTCATATGAGAGTCAGAGGCCCTTAGAGGGGCAGAGATTTGAATGGGATCACTTTGTATGCCACAGGGAGAGGCTAGATTAGAGCTCAGGGCTCCTGACATACATATATATATGTATATATGCATATGTATTTATATAATAAAATAATATATATGGTAATGTCCATTATATATACAGTTGACCCTTGAACAACACAGGTTTGAATTGCAGAGGTCCACTTACACACAGATTTTTTAAAATACATACATTGGAAAATTTTTTGGAGATTTGCAACAATCTGAAAAAATTCACAAATGAACTATGTAGCCTGGAAATATGAAAAAATTAAGAAAAAGCTATGTCATGAATGCATAAAATATGTGTAGACACTAGTCTGTTTTATTGCGTACCATAAAATCAATAGTAGGCTATTAGGATTTACATTTTGGGGGAGTCAAAATTTATACACAGATCTCTTACCGCAGGTGGGGGCGGGAGAAGTTGCCCCTAATTCCCTGTGTTGCCCAAGGGTCAACTGTATATGTAAACATAGTCGCACATAATGATTACTCAATAACAAAGAATAAACATTTGTTGAATTAAACTGCTCAATCAACATTCACTAGAAGATAAGTATAGACTGACCTTCTGGGAATTTACGGACTAGATGCAAGAGGAAATAGAGACATGAATGCAGATCTGGGGTTTGTTCAGAAGCTGCCCCTGCAGGAGGGCTCTGGGAGGTGGGACAGGGGAGGGAAGGTCTCCCGGGAGCCCTGACTCCGCCCCCCCCCCCCCCCGCCTCTCTCCAGGTGGCCACTGACAAAGACAACGGCATCCTCCTCTACAAGGGAGATAACGACCCCCTGGCGCTGGAGCTGTACCAGGGCCACGTGAGGCTTGTCTACGACAGCCTGAGCTCCCCACCAACCACGGTGTACAGGTAAGGGGCATGGACCCTCCCTCCAGAAGATGCGGGGCCACGCTGCCGCCTTGCTCCCCGCCCCCCCACGCACTCTCCCCCTCGGAGTGGCAGGTGGGAGGGAGAGGCAGGAGAAGGAGGCAAGCCCTGCGGGGAGATGACACCTCATTACCATAAGATAAATGGCCAGCTGGCGACTGTGCAGGAGCCCTGCGCTCCAATGGGGACGAGGCTGCTTAATGAGATGCCCTTTTCAAAATGTCATCCTAATCTTTTATTAGTTTAAGAAAGAAAACAGGAGGAGATGAGCATGCAGCTCAAGGGGAAGAAATTCCAGAGCACTGAGAGAGCAGGACCACTCCTTAAGTGACCTTCAAACTGTTCTGAAGGACAGTTTTCCCTAAACGTCAGTCTTTCTGACAATCACCCTGGTCTTTTTTACATTATTGATATGTCAGCTGTACTATTGCTTAACATGCTACCTTACATCAGCTTAAACTGCTCACTTTTTAAATTTAGCTTCCTCTTAAGTCATATCCATGATTTCAGCTAGTTCGATGTTAGGGTTTTTTTTCTCAGTACAATAAATGTTAAACTATTAAAATGAAAAATTATCTTAGCTATAAATATTTTTGTGATAGTTATAGACATAACTGGTAGAAACATTTACCTGCGTTACATGTGACATCACATAAACCCGCCTGTGGAAGGCGAATCGTTACTCCAGGGAAGCGCAGTGCGTGAGGAGGACCCACATGCAGAGGCCGGCCTCCTGCCTCTGGAAGCAAGCGCATGTTTGATGGGAGCTGGTCAAGAGCAGCAATTCTCAGACATTTTTCCCCAGTAACTAAATCCTTTCTTTAATCAAATCTTTTATATTGAACTCAAGAATGGTAACTACACAGAAGCAAAACTACCCTGCAGGGCTGGAGAGAGCGAAGGCCTCCCCTTCTCCCATACTGTCAGGAACACCCCAGTACACCTCCAACAAACCCAGTTGAAAACCACTGGTTAAACCTGCGGTTCTTGAAGTGTACCCCCCGGGGCGGCAGCAGGACCAGGAGCCTGTTAGAAATGCACATTTTCAGACCCCAGCCCGCACCTGCTGCCAGACGCTGGGGTAGGGCCCTGCACCTGTTGTAAGGAGCCTCTAGATGATTCTGATGCCCAAGTCTGAAGAGTGCCAGCTTACACAGGAAGCCTTCCTGGAGGAAGATCTGTTTGTGGTGGGTCTTGAAGAAAGGGAAGAAATTGATGAGCAGAACAGGTGGACAGGCTGGCTGGGGGAACAGCAATCACAAGCCTAAGGGACAATGAAAAGGTTCGTGGTAACAGATGGAGGTCGGTGGGGGAAGAGCAGCCTGGTTAGGACAGTTGAGTACAATGGATCCCAGGCAGAGAGCTCACCCCGTGGCTTCGAGTTCCCACAGTCAGGACACCGCAGAGCTGCTGGTCATGGCAAAGTGGACGGGACAGAGAGACGAGGGCAGGGGCCGTTCTGTGGTGTAAGACACACCTGGGTTTGAGCAAGCTGTTCAACCTCTTGCCTGTTTCCTCATCTGCACACTGTGGTTAAGAGCAGGGTGTACCGCCAGGAATGGTGTTAGGGCTGGAGGTGGAGGGAGGGCTTGGCAAACTGAACTTTTATGTGGGCATGTGGAGCACAGAAGGTGACAACCAGGCTTCCAGAGGGGTGGGGCTCTGTCCAGAACTTGGAAACCAAGCTTTCGCCCACACTGACGTCAGCTGTCAGGGGTGACTTAGTAAAGGGGTGCTGTCATCGGTGGGAATGGGGAGCACTGCTGTTGGCTGACTAAGGGCATGAGGGATGAAGTGGAGACCCAGAGCACTGCTGTCTCCTGTGGCCCTCGTCAGGGAGTCAGATGAGCATTAGCAGGGGCACCAGGGAGACCACCGGCTCTTTCTCCCACCTGTGGGAAGAACCTTGTGAAGGATGCCCAGGCCTGGATCCACATGCCAAGCCTGGTGACAAACTTTATGGCCCTTCAATCCTAAAGAGCCCAAAACTCCAGAAATCCCATATTAAAAATGGTTTTGCTTCTAAACACTTGTCTCTGAGGGAGCCCTGGTATTGCTGAGGGGAGCTGGCAGCCTGAGGTCTGCTACGCACTGAGGCCCCGCTGAACAGTCCCCAGAGGAGAGTGAACAGCCAGGGCCCCGCAGGGACACACAGGCCTGGGGCAGCTGGATTCTGTGGCCTTCTCCGTGCGGGTGCCTGACTGTGTTCATCTGCCCCACGTGAGGGCACAGAGGTTCTGCTCCAGGCCCTGGGGCATGTACACAGAACAGCCCACCTGAGCCACCCCCTCCCCGGGAGTGGGGGCAGATCTCACTAGTCTTCACTTCCGGGACTTGTCAGAGGGGCTTTAGGCATAATTTCCTGCCTGCAAGGGAGCAGACCTGGGGAAAGTAGCCTGAGCTTTCAGGGAGTAGTGGGGACTGTGGCAGCCTAAGGGGTACAGGCCTTGTCAAGGCACAGCCGCCCTCAGCTCCAGCAGGTGCGGCTGTGTGGGGGTGTGGGGCACCAAGAGAAGCTAGGAATTCGGGATTTCTATGTGAAATATCTGCACTTAAATGCTGACTTTTCATACAGAGCTCGATTTGGCTCCCATGGCCTTAATTAGCACAAGCCCAGGCAAGTGTCATCACCCCTGTGTTAAGGATGAGAAACCTGAGGTTCACATGAAATGCGTGGCCCCAAAGCACGCAAGCCAGTGAGTGGCAGGGCTGGGATTCAGGCTGCCGCCAAATGCCATTCTCCCACGGTGCTGAATCTGAGCGGGGGGCGCCAGGTCCCATGCTCCAGCCATGGGGCTGCAGTGGGGTGTGCTGCCTGGGCGGCTGCCTAACCAAAATGCCAGGAACTCTGTGTTCCTGTGAAGCTCTGTCACCACCTAGTGGCCACACAGCATTCAGGTGCGCACACCCACCGCCTTGAGGATCATTTTCAGTGGCAGCAGGGTCCAAGGCTTGGGAGACGGGATAGGAGTCCCACCTCCATCACTTTCACTTTAAGGCTTCAGGCTGGACTCCTTAAGACTCTGAGCCTTAAGCTTCTTATTTATAAAATAATGGGAAGTTGTTAGTGTTAAATGAGGGAATGCAGGCCCGGTGCTTAGCACAGAGGAGCACAGTGTCTTCCCCTGTTAAGCACTCGACACCCGCCTTCCATTGATATGAAAAGCAAGAGAATTCAGCGGCCACTCTGGCCAATGCATGTCCTCCTGCCAGACACAGGCAGGAGCTGTCCAGCCTGGCTCTGACCCCTCCCATGCTCCCCACCTCCCACTCCATGCTGGCCAGGGCCCCCTCCTTCCTCTGCAATCCCCCAGTCTCTCTCCAGGAGGCGGGTAATGGAGCTTAGAACCACAGGAAGATCAATTCTTTTAAGAATTAACAGTAGGTGGGGGTTTTCTCCCCAATTTTTTTCTCTTCTTTTGTAGTAGGAGAGCCATTTTTCTCATTATTGTTACTTAATAGGTCAAGATTTAATAAAAAATAAACAAGCAGAAATGGAGCTATCCTGATGTGGAAGATAGTGGTAAGAAATTCGAGCCTTCAGCACCACCTACCCATGATTCAAAAACCACTGGCTTTAGGCCGTGTTTCCAGGAGACCCTACGATGCGCCAGGAAGAAGGCAGCCTGTGAATCCATCAGCATCTACTGGCACAGACAAGGTTATGGGAGGGTTGGATTCAGACTCAGTCCTGACATTGAACCTCAATTCCACCACCTCCTAGCAGTGTGACCTCAGTCAAGTTTCTTAGGTTCTCTTGCTGTAAAATGGGGTTCACATGAGTGCCCTCCTCAGAGGTGTGACAAGACAGTGAAGGCATATGGAAACCCAAAGGCCTCAGTAGCTGTACGGTTAAGAATCAGTAGAAGAGCTCTTCTGGGGCTCACTAGCCTGTTCCCTGCTCTGTCCTGCCTGCCACACCCAGCTCCTCCAGGCTAGGGTTAGGGCCACGGAGACCATCACCTCCCCCTTTACTGGGCACTTGCATGGTTTAAGGGGCCGTGCATTGCCTGTTAAAACCAAATGAGGCCAACATTATCACCAGGCCACTGCACCGAAGTAGAAACTAGGACTTACAGAAGTGATGTGACTGGCCCAGGGTCCCTCAGCTGGAGGGCCCAGTGTGACACTCGACCTCTCAGCCCCGAAATGACTGAAGAGGGAACCTAGAGGAAGGGGCCCGCCTAGGACTCTCCTTGTGGGCATCAGGGGAGGACCTCCAGGGAGCCGGGCAGCCAGGGCCCTGTGGAGCCCAGCACTCCCATCAGAGGCAGGGGGCCAGAGGCCTAACGGTCCCCTCTGCTGCTGTGACTCTGACCAAACCACTGGCTCCCAGCCAGATGCCCTCGGTGGTGGTGCACCAAGGCCTGGGCCAGTGGGGGAGTGCAGGAAGGAAAGGAGAGAACAGACCCAGAGCCTGCGGCCAGGAAGGGTTATGGTGTGTGAGTGTTCACTGTGACTGTGCTTCTACCATGAAAAGCAGCTGCCTCAGACTTCCGGAATCCTAATGTGGGAAGAGCACCTGCCCAGACCTGTAGCCTCTCTACAGCTCTTTCTCTGACCGGGTGGCTGTTCAGCATCTAGTTATACACCTCAAGGAATAGAGAGCTCATTTTCATTGAGGACAGCATCAGTTTACAAGATGATTAGGAGATATATCTGCATATTTTTTCATGTGTGTTTAGAAAACTGTGTTAGGGCTCAAGATCAAGGAAGCCTGTGGTCTCTTCACAGCAGCCCTTCTCCCCAACCCACTACCACCAACTAGGCTGCAGGATCACAGGCCTCCTCGGCCTTATCCTCAGTTGACTATTCAGAAAGCTGGAAGCTACTGAAACAGAACAGTCCTACCTTCATATTGCTTCTTGACTCCCCATGACAAAACCAGATCCCCCAAGCAACTCTTTTAACTACCACTCTTTTCCTCACTACTCTCTTTCTTGACCAGGCTTTAGATTGATTAGATGGTTATTTGACTTAGAAGAAAGGCTAAGGAAAGTGAGGTGAGCTTTATAAGTGAAGACACTCTGTCCATTTGCCAGTGATCCCCAACTCCTAGGATAATGTGGTTCATAGTAGACATTCAGTGGATGGAGGGAGGGAGGGAGGGAGGGAGGGAAAGAGGGAGGATGGATGGATGGGTGGTGCATGGATTGCTGGATGGTTAGATGATAGGTGTGCAGATGGATGGATGGTGGATGGGTGGGTGCGAAGTGGGTGGATGGGTGGAAGGGGGATAGATGGATGGACTATTGCATAGATGGATGGATGGTTGGATGGGAGATGGATGATGGATGGGTGGAAGGACAGATGACTGATGGATGGGTGGATATGAGAAGAGAGGGTTCTTGATGGGTTTGGGAGGGTGCTGGGCACCTACATGTCCCTCTCTGCCATCAGTTTCTCCCAGAGATTGGCAGTAGAGCTAATTTGGAGACAATGGTAGGTTCTTATTGTGGTTACTAGTATTCTAAATAACACATGATAATTGCTCACATTTTCCTAGTAATTTACAGGCTACAAAGCACTTCCATGTAGCTACTGATTTCATCATCAGGTAATTGAGTTATTTTCCCACCTTTTTGGATGAGGAAACCGAGACCAGAGGGGTTCTGTTTCTGTGACTGGCCGTCCTCCACCCACAGTAAGGGGCTGGAATGGGCTTCGTGCTTTCTCCCCTGGGCCTCAACTCAGCCTGTCTTCTCCCAAGCATTTCCCTCACCTTCTTGGCTACTGAGGTTTCCAACTCTGAGTCAGTCTCTGAAACTGTCCCTGTCTGCCTGGAGCATCAGCACCACCTCCATGCCAGGATCCTCTTGTTGGAGCTAATTCACCTGCAGATTCACCAAGGAGATTTCACAGGGAGAGGGACGCTCCACATGTAGTGCCCACACCTGAAGCTCAGCTGCAACTCTGCCATTTCCTTCAGGGAAGGAATGCCATATCCCCACTCTTCTGTCACCTCCCATAGCTGCTCCTTCCCAGCCCCTGCCAAGGATTAAGTAGAGGAAAAGGCAGAATTTTGGAGTCAAATGTTTGTCTATGAATTCTGTCTCTGGAACATACGAGCTGGGCAACCTCAGACAAATTACTTAACCTCTCTGGGCCTTAGTCTCTTTGTGAAATGGGATATCTGGCGCCACTTCATAGAATTCTCATGAGGCTCATATAAAATAGCAGTGGCCCATCTGGCACCATGCTCAGGAGGGAGGGAGGGAGGGAGGGAGGGAAAGAGGGAGGATGGATGGATGGGTGGTGCATGGATTGCTGGATGGTTAGATGATAGGTGTGCAGATGGATGGATGGTGGATGGGTGGGTGCGAAGTGGGTGGATGGGTGGAAGGGGGATAGATGGATGGACTATTGCATAGATGGATGGATGGTTGGATGGGAGATGGATGATGGATGGGTGGAAGGACAGATGACTGATGGATGGGTGGATATGAGAAGAGAGGGTTCTTGATGGGTTTGGGAGGGTGCTGGGCACCTACATGTCCCTCTCTGCCATCAGTTTCTCCCAGAGATTGGCAGTAGAGCTAATTTGGAGACAATGGTAGGTTCTTATTGTGGTTACTAGTATTCTAAATAACACATGATAATTGCTCACATTTTCCTAGTAATTTACAGGCTACAAAGCACTTCCATGTAGCTACTGATTTCATCATCAGGTAATTGAGTTATTTTCCCACCTTTTTGGATGAGGAAACCGAGACCAGAGGGGTTCTGTTTCTGTGACTGGCCGTCCTCCACCCACAGTAAGGGGCTGGAATGGGCTTCGTGCTTTCTCCCCTGGGCCTCAACTCAGCCTGTCTTCTCCCAAGCATTTCCCTCACCTTCTTGGCTACTGAGGTTTCCAACTCTGAGTCAGTCTCTGAAACTGTCCCTGTCTGCCTGGAGCATCAGCACCACCTCCATGCCAGGATCCTCTTGTTGGAGCTAATTCACCTGCAGATTCACCAAGGAGATTTCACAGGGAGAGGGACGCTCCACATGTAGTGCCCACACCTGAAGCTCAGCTGCAACTCTGCCATTTCCTTCAGGGAAGGAATGCCATATCCCCACTCTTCTGTCACCTCCCATAGCTGCTCCTTCCCAGCCCCTGCCAAGGATTAAGTAGAGGAAAAGGCAGAATTTTGGAGTCAAATGTTTGTCTATGAATTCTGTCTCTGGAACATACGAGCTGGGCAACCTCAGACAAATTACTTAACCTCTCTGGGCCTTAGTCTCTTTGTGAAATGGGATATCTGGCGCCACTTCATAGAATTCTCATGAGGCTCATATAAAATAGCAGTGGCCCATCTGGCACCATGCTCAGCTCTCATGCTTCACAAGCCTTTGGGGAGCAGCCGTTGGTCCTGTGGGGGCGTCATGGGGAAAGGGAATGCATGTGGACTTCAAAGCTGGACAGACCTTGGCTTAAACCCCTCCGCGCCTTTGTAGGTGTGCAGCTTTAGGCAAATCACTTAGCCTCCCTAGGCTTCTGTTTGTCCTGTCTGTGATTCTGTGAACACCTGAAGGAGAGTTGTAGTCATTACTTCCCCAGATGTGGTATGTATATATATGCACACTGCTGGCAGTGCCTGAGATGAGTTTAGGTGGGACAAAGACAAACTATTGACATTTTAACTGTGAGGTAATGTTTTTCATGTATACTAGAAAAAGCGTGCAATCCCACCAAAATATTTTTTTCATGGACACCATTTCTTACAATAATGCCTGCCTTCTTGATATTTAAGGGGGACATAGAGCAGTAGAAGAAAATATGTTAAGTAAATAGTGGTCCCATTGGAGAGTAAAAATCCATAGTAGAACAAAAACTGAGGATGGAATTTAACTGTAAAATGCTAGAAGAATTCAGAAAATGGTAATCAAATGCAGTACGTGGCCCTAGAAGAGATCTTGTACTGGAATGGAAAAAATGCTGTGAAAGACATTATGGGGTCCACTGAAAAATCAGAATACAGACACATTAGATACAAGCATGGTATCAAGGTTAAATTTACCAAAGATAAGAACTGCCCTGTGCTTATATGAGGGGATAGCCTATCCTTAGGGAATGCACCCTGAGCTATCCAGGAATAAAGGGCCACCAGGTATGCAGCTTACTCCTACATGATTCAGTAAAAGTGTATGTATGTCATACTATACATATAGCTTATGTATGCAGAAAAACGGTATATATCCATATGCATATATATACACATGTGTGTGTATATATCCATGGAGATAGTTACAGATATAGATATGTATATATGAAGAAGGAAAGTAATAAAGCAAATGGGGCTAATAGAATCTATAAGTGTAATAGGCGTTCTCTGTTACTGTTTCTATTTTTGTAATTTATGTAAGTTTGAAGTTATTTCCAAATGAAAAGTGAAGTGCAGGTCAAGTTCACAGCCCAGTGCCCAGCCATTGAAGGCACTCAGCAAATCCTCTGGCTCTCCCCTGTGCAGCGTGGAGACAGTGAATGATGGGCAGTTTCACAGCGTGGAGCTGGTGATGCTAAACCAGACGCTGAACCTGGTGGTGGACAAAGGAGTCCCCAAGAGCCTGGGGAAGCCCCAGAAGCAGCCTGCAGTGAGCATCAATACCCCCCTCTACCTTGGAGGTAAAGCCCTTCTCCCCGCTACCACCCCTGCCACCTCCCACCTGCCCTCTGTTATCGGGCACCAGCAACCAGGCCCACTGGCCAGTGTTCTTCTGCTCTTATCTCAGCACCCACTGCCAAACCAAATCAGAGAAGGCTCCCCGGAGGAAGTGACAACCAAGCTATCCATAAATAGGTCACGGGGAGAAGAGGAAAGGAGGGAGGACAGGGCTCCTTCTGGGAACTAACGGCTTGTTCAGAAGATGGTGGGGCTAGGTGAAGATGGAGCGGGAATGGAGGCCGGGTCCATCTGCAGGCTTCAGGCCACATTCCCTGGGCTCTGCCGCCTCCTCAGACCCTGGAAAGCTCAGCTAATGCATGTAGAATAGGTTTGAGATTAAGGTTGTAGAAAGGATGAAAGAGAAGCCACCTGCTTGGCAGAGTCGGGGCCTAAAATGCAGCCCTGGGCCAGTAGTTCTCAAAGGGTTCTTTGCAGAAAAAGTCAGAGCAGCTTGTTCAGATTCCTGAGACTTCCCCACCAAGTCTCCCTCTGGAAGACAGGAAGGGGCCCAGGAATCTGCATTGCTAACACCCGGTCCAGAGCATCCCCCAGCCCCTGAAGGGACACAGCTTCTCCCCTAGTGAAGACCCTCAAAGTTCCCCTGACCGAGGCTGCTCCCCCATGCCCCTCCTCTCCCAAACGTTCCCTCTCCTGCCCCGTGTTCTCCTGCGGGGCCCAGGCTGAGGGGCTATGGAGGCTGGTGTGGACCCAGCGGGATGTGCCGCTTCCCTTTTCCTGCCAAGAGGGAGGGGTCTTCATCCAGTCACTGTGGCCATGTAGCTGTGGGTGGCCAGACTCTTCTAGAGAAACCCGAAATATGGATTTGTATGGGAGATTTCCTATATTTAAATATTGACAACAAATTCAAGGTTTTTAAAGAGTCACAGCACAGGACAAAGGATGCCTGTCTATGCATGGACAAAGCCCCAGGTTCTGGCCCATTCCCTGTACTGGACAGCAGAGGCAGGGCTGTGAGCACTTAACTATGAACATGTAAAGAGCCCGTTCTTGCTCTGATGGGAGGTCTGAGCAGAGTGGACAGGGGTGGGTCTTCAGGCTGCTGTCCCGGTGCCCCTCCCACAGGCATCCCCACCTCCACGGGCCTCTCGGCCTTGCGCCAGGGCACAGACCGGCCGCTGGGTGGCTTCCACGGCTGCATCCATGAGGTGCGCATCAACAACGAACTGCAGGACTTCAAAGCCCTCCCACCACAGTCCCTGGGGGTTTCGCCAGGCTGCAAGTCCTGCACCGTGTGCAAGCACGGCCTGTGCCGCTCAGTAGAGAAGGACAGCATGGCGTGCGAGTGCCACCCTGGCTGGACCGGCCCACTGTGCGACCAGGAGGTCTGGGACCCCTGCCTCGGCCACAGGTCAGTGTCCTGAGAGCCCAGGCTCCCCTCTCAGGCCCACAGCGAGGACTCAGTCCCTGTCCCACCCAAGAAGTGGGCACTGAAGGACATTGGAGGAATGGTGGTCAGACTGTGTAAGTGTGACTGCTGAAAAGGTTGAGAGCTTAAACATTCAAACAGCAGGTCCTGCCCAGAGACAACTGCATGCCAGGGCCATGCTGAAAACCCACCTCTGCCAAGTGGCTTTTAGAACCTGCTGGGAGCCACACAAGCCTCCACACTGCCTGTGTGCGAATCAGGGTCTGCTTCGGCAGATGCAGCCCTGGGAGCACACTGCTTGGCACGTGGAGCGAGGGGGAACATCTGCCCCGATTCAGGGTCCTGGGCCAGGCACTAGGTGTGAATAGTAGGCACAGCTGAATCCCATTTCATGGCACAATCATTTATTATTTATTTGACAAATATCTACTGAGGCCCTACAATGTGCCAGGCCTTGTGCTAAATGCAAGAAAATACTATCTGTATTAAGAAACCTGAAACAGTCAAAAATAACACCAGAACCAAGACTGGTAATTTGATTGGCTGAACAAGCTGGGAAATGATTATTTTGAATCAGGAATGATGGGCAGCTAGAAAAGGTTTGGGTTTCCTGTGTAGCTCTTGATTGTGTGTTTTGACTCTGTAATGAATATGTCTACAGTGAATCCTGGCTCTGAATGTCATCCCAGTAGAGACAGTGCTGCATCATGATTATGAATGTAGACTTTGGCATCAGTTTCTCCTTCTGTGAGATGTGAACTAGACTATGTACAGAACAAAAGCAGCAGAGGATAGGCGATTGTAGAAAATAAGAATGCACCCTATTTGACCCTGGGGCAGGGATTTAAGATTGATGTGGAGCCACTGTGCTGGCAGAGGTCAGACCCTGGGATGGAGAAGGCCTGAGGTGCCAGAGCTCTGGGTCCCCAGGTTTGAGCCTGGTCCCCTTCTCATTCTGTCCTCTGTCAGCAGATGCAATCATGGGAAATGTGTGGCAACCGGGACTTCATATGTGTGCAAGTGTGTAGAGGGCTACGGAGGGGCCTTATGTGACCACAAGAATGATTCCACCAACCCCTGCTCAGCCTTCAAGTGTCACCACGGGCAGTGTCACATCTCAGATCAAGGGGAGCCCTACTGCCTGTGCCAGCCCAGCTTCAGTGGAGAACACTGCGAACAAGGTGGGTCTGTGTGCATGGGAGAGGGCACCTGAGGAGGAGGAGGGGTCAGCGTTGGGCTCCAGATCCCGCTCATTCCAGTGCCCACTGTGCTACTTAGAGAGTGACTTAACCAAGTTCATCCATCCCAATTTCCCTCACCTTGAAAATGGAGCCAATACTATACCTTTCTGCATCATTTATCCACTGCTGTGTAATGATTTAGCACCAAAGTATCACAGTTCAAAATACTCCCTTCCTCTCTGCCTCCCCTCCACATCACTAGAGACTGTTGCATTTTTATACCTAGTTGAAATACCATTCTTAACCAAAACTGGCCATTTTTTAAAGTTTTATTCAATAACATTTTTTTGAAACAACTTCAAATTCAACAGAAAACTTGCCAGGACAATATAAATAGCTCTCATATTCCCTTCAACCAGATGCCCAGTTAACATGCATCCGTATCCACACTCTCCTCTCCCCACACTGCACACATGCCCATTATCAGTTGTCTCTCTGATTCTTTAACAATTTCAATTTTTAAAAATTGCTTCAAGCTTAACAGTATTCACATTACATCACATTAATCACCTGAAACTTTAAAATGCCTAAAGCCCTTTCTCAGTCACAATGAGGCTCATAACAGCCTGTGCAGCAGCAGGAAGGACAGGGAAATATGCCACCCCTTTCCAGACAAGAAAATGAGGTTCAGGTCTGGCTGTAAGCCCATTTCCTTCTGCTCCCAATGCTCGCTGCTGTAATGAAGACAAAGAGGAATGGAGATAAGGAGTTGGTCCGAGTCCAGGGGATTCCAGCAGATACAGGGACGCCCTTCCCCTCCCTAGCCCATCCATCCCATGTCATTATTACAAATACATTCATTCAAATGATTAATGAGAGTGGTGGGGACTTGGGCAAACTGGAGGGGTCCCCTGCCCCAGCCAACACACTGTCATTGTGTGTCATTGCACTTGAGGGACACAGGCTCAGCTCTACCAGACCTCTTGGCTTTCAAAGCCGAAAAGCCCAATTTTTAAGTGAAATCTGGGATTTTTAAGCACAGGTGGTGAAATCAAATTTGGGAACAGGATTTAGCCCATAGTCTACCAGCTTGCCACATCTACTTTGATCTTCAAGTTGCTTAAAGGAAGAGCCCATGCCTGCTTTCGTCATCATTATATCTGGGGGACCTTCGTTTAGAGCCTGGCACTGAAAAGGCGCTTAGTATTTGTGGCAGAGTTAGGTAGAGAGATGGTTGGATGAGTGAACAAGCAAGTACACATGGTCTTCAGACCAGCCTACTGTTGGGAAGAATTTTCCCTACCCTTTGAGGTTCTTCTAGATGGTCTAAAAATCAAATTGGATTCCACTAGGTACGTAATTAAACCTTGACAGGAGACAAAGACAATCAAGGACAATTGGGTATATATTTCAGCCTGAACTAAGCAGAAGCGGGTAGGGGTCTGGGACTTGGAAGCAAATTACGCAAATATGATAGAACAAATATATGGTAAACAAATGATTGAGGGACACAGAGGAATTTAATCAGCCTATCACATTCCTGTCTATCTACCAAACCTAGTACATTTTGTAATGCAGTTTTCTATGGTGATGGCTCTACTGGTTCTCCCTTAACTGCATAAAATGGATTTAAAGTTTCTTTCTGAGTCTTTTGGGCCATGGTGATTTTCAGCTCCGACGTAATCTGACTGCCAGAGCAGCACAGCTTCGGGTGACCTGCCCTTGGCCTCTACAGTTTCCTCCTCTAAAACTTCCAGGGAAGTTTCACATTAAAGGTTGAGTTGACCCATCTGGCTGATTGAGTCTGTGTCTAGAGTCCTGACAATAAGTCAGTTTACTTGAACTCCTCTCAGGAGGTGGTGATGCAGGTGTGTTCCCCAAATTAGGCCTGTGGTTCAAGCAATCAGGTATTAAATAAGAGACATTTCTTTGGATATGAAACAGAGGTTACTGGTTGGAAGGAATTATAAACCGAGTGTCTGAGCACTACCAGTGAGATTTCCAGATGTCCCAGAAGTGCGGAAAGTGGCGATATGAAGGGGTTTTCTCGGTTTGTAGTTAGAATGTCTCTGATAATCTTTTTGATTGGCTGTTGCTCTCGGAGGAGGGGGTTCCCTGCTTGGGGCAAGTTTCTATGAATTAAGTAAGACCAAATAAAGGCGAGGGCAAGAAGTTGGGGGCTTAAAGGGGATTTTATTCTCACCGCAGTAGGTCTCAGTTTCTCATCTGCTCTGGCTCCCCTCCTCCTCTCGCCAAGCTTCCCGCTCAGACTTCATTCACCCAGGAGCCGGGTCTCCAATGGTGCTGCTCGCTCCCCTCTCTCCCAGAGCCCTCCTCTACTTTCCTGCCCCTCACCCTGGGAGGAACTCTGTGGACAGGTCTCTGGTGCTGGCAGGCGCCTGACCAAGTACATACCAGGAACTGAGGAGAGGAGAGCATGGGTGTTTCTTCTCCACCCCTCTTGGACCGGTACTTGGTAACTGAACAGCCGCTCTGTCCCTGTGAACATTCCATGGATGTGCACACTCATTACATATACAATGGGTGCTATTAAGGCCAGGCAGGAATTCTGGTCAGAAATTCCCATTTGTTCCACAGCAACGGGCAGAAAGACTGAACATGGGCTGCTGTGGTAGTTTCTCTCAAGTTTATATCAAGATGTGCATCTTCAGTTTGTACAAGCTTCAGGATAAAGAGCAGTTTTCTGATTTGGAAACACTGAGAGCTAAGTGTGGGGGAAAACTGAAAACATTGGTTTGGAGATTTGTAGCCAGACATTAGAGGAAACTAGATTCCAGTTACCAACTGAGGATCTAGTCCAGTTTACAATAAACATTAGACTCTAATACCCATAAAGGTGTGCTACTGACACATAGTTTTTCTCTCTAAAATCACCCTCACTTTTATTAGAAGTAACCAAATTAAAACTAGTTTCAAAAAGACTTGGCCTGATTATTTACATTGCAGCAATACTGCAATTGGGTCAATAGGCTCTTTTAAATGTGCTTTTTGCTGGATCTTTTCATAAGGAATTTGAGGTTGAACTTTCAAAGCCTTCTCGACGCCAGGAAAGCCAAGACTCACCTGCAATACCTATGGGGTTGCATTACTTCCCTTCTGAAGGTTCCTGCATCAGCCAGGAAGTGGCCTTCTCACCTGGCTGCTGAGAATGCTATAAGCAGGGCACCAAGCCAGTTCTTCCAAGGGACTTCACTGGCTGTCAACCTTGGTTCCTTAGCGCTGTCTGGTCATATCTGAGTCTATGCACATCTCCTTTAAATATAACATTTCAGTCAAAGCCTTGGTAATATAACCAATGTTTCAATTGTCCTGTTACAAGGAAAACAGGTTTTTATTGAACTTATGCAAATAACTATATTGCCATGAAAATAAAAGTTCTGAGTTCTTGAATTCTAGCAGGATAAGGTAGGAAGAAAAACAATGTTTCAATTCTGCTTACAGAGGTATAATTTACCAAATTGAACTAAGTCATAGTTTAAGAGGATGCATTTTCCATAAATCTGGACAAAACTTTTTTTAAAAAACAGAAATGTTTCAAATGAAAAGTCTAAATCGTCACCCTCAGTTAATTTCAGCGCCATGTAATTCTTGTTCTGCTTGAATCCAATTTTCCATTAGTTATGTAAATTTTTATGTAGTTCAGTTTTATGATCTTAAAGTTATCAGTAACACCTGTATTTGTCAAAAATCCTTTCCATGAATCTCCTTGAAATTATTTTGCAGGGACACTTCTGCAAAAGCATCTGAGCAAAACAAAAGCTGTCTACAAATGACAAAAGACTTAAAAATGGCCACAAAGAAAACAATATTGTCTATAATGACAAACGACTTAGAAATGGACATAAAGATCTGATGAGAGTTCATTATAATGCAAACAAATTTGGTTATTCCTAACATTTTAAGTCAATAACATACCAAGACACTTTCTCAAAGTTTTGCATAATGGCTAGAACACATTTTAACATATTTTTACACAAATATAATCTAGGTTTGACATTACTAATTTGACAATGCTTCCCATTTAACATACTAAATAAATAAGCCTAATTAGCTAAATCTCTCTTTAAGAAGAAAATCTTCTGATATGTTCCAGGGGCCCTCTGGAAAATCTCTGAGTTAACCAGAGGTAAAAAAGACTTTATTTAGAATTTGGTTTTGGAAAGTTTGTCAAAAATATCAAGAGGTTTAAACATTTGATTAAATAGGATCACAGGTCATTATGAAATGTAATACTTATTTAGCCCAAGTGACAATAAAAGATTTTAAAGGCACATAGAAGGTTATACAGTTTTTAGCTCTTTTAAGATTGTTTTCTTTTTTTTTTTTGATCGTTAATGTACAATTACTTGAACAACATTATGGTTACTATTACTAGACTCCCCCTATTATAAGACTGTTTTGTTAAGTAATCAAAGACCTAATTAGGACAACATGAAGCACAAGAAATTATTCTGACAAAATAATTAAGGCAAAGAAAAACCCTTCACAATCTCTTAACATCAAGAGCAGACAATAGGAGAAAACCTTGCCCTTTTCACAAAGGGAAGACCAAATTCTAACCTTAAAGTGTACTTGATATTAAACCTCAGAACTTTAATCTTAGTATGAGCACACATTAAATTCCTTTTCAGATTCCTTTTACACAAACCTACAATTCTCCATTTTACATTTAGATTTTGTCCTGTTTTCCCTCTTCCAACCTCTCTTTACAACAAATTAGTTTAATTTTCTTTAACAAAAATGTATTTCCATTTCTCATTCTTTATTTCACATAAAGCACACATCCTAGGTTTTTTGCATATGAAGATGTTTCCTTCTGTAAGTCCGGGGAAAAGAAATCCCAGGGCAAAATACCTCTAAAAACCGAAGTCAGTCAAAGGGAGAAATAAAGTTTAAAACCTGTTTATTGCCTACAAACTGCAGTCTGGGCCGTCTCTCTCCTGCTCTGGCAGAAGCAAAACCGGCCCTCCCGGTCACCTCGGGTAGAGATAAGCCCTCCCGTTGCCCAGGTAATTACCTATTGATAGGAAGATGAACTTCTCTCCACCCCTGAGGAATGACGCAAATGCACTAAAGCCATACTTCTTTCCACTTCTGAACGCCTATTGATACGCAGATATACTAAAGCCAGGCGAGATATTCTGGAAATATTACAATTTTATCCACACCCTCATTTCAAGTAGTTAACCCGTAGAAACTCTTAGAAACTTTAATTTCTAGTGAAAACTAAGGAGTAAGTTACTGTAAACTGTAACAATGCCAGCATTCTTTAGATTGGCACATGTATGAATATTTTATACTTTCTAGAAACATACTTCATAGTGCCATCTTTCAATAAGCACAAAAATGTTTACTAACAAACACAATTTATCTTTGGTTTATCTGTAATAAGAACACCAGAAAAAGGTAAGCCTGTGTTCACTAATGAATATGTTTCATTGTTTTGTCATGTCTAGATATTCAATGAATTTAATTTATCTTGAAAGTCTTTTTGGTACTAAGTGAGCTATTTTCAGGTACATATACCATAACACATAATTATTGCTAAGGAGTTCACATATTACATCTATTTAGTTTACTTGTTCTGAAAAGCCATGTCTATATTGCCCACAAAAACTTCATTAGACATACAAGTCAGTCATTTTCCCCAAGCCATTTTTTGGGAAAACAATTTTGTAACAGAGATAATTAACTGGCTTTTAAGTAAACCCCAGCAGACTAAAAGTTCTAATTCTAATGCAGATAACCTTACAGACATGTCTCTTTTAATTAAACCAAATTTAGATGAGCTTTAATACTGAACGTTTCCCAGGATCACATGAACTTGGAAAAACACTTGTGTTCCTGTAAGAATTTCTGAGAGCTTTGGAATGCCCAAATTTTACAAGTCCCTATCTTCAAACCAGTTACTTTTAGCAATACCATCCAGATACAGAAAAATATCTTCCATTTACATAAATACACACACACACACACACACACACACACACACACACACACACACAGCCACACACACACACACAGCCACACACAGCCAAACACAGCCAAACACAAATGCAAAGATTTTCTAGTTACTTATATTTGTGGAGATTTTATTTACCCAAGTTCTAAATACTTCCTTTCTCTCTCTTTTTCTGATAAGAAACTTCTCCCTAAAGTTTGCATTTAAAGAATGGCTCTTAGGTCCTAGAAAAGATGAGGGCAAAAATTTTATTACAAAAACACAAAGTATCCTAGTTTCCTTTCAATGTTAAGTCCTGGTAAGGAAGACATGTTTGCCTATTTTCAGACACTTATGATAATATTTAAATTTCTCCTTTCCTCAAGTTCAAGACAATCCTGTTTGCAATTGTCCTAATCTATTTTAATATCTACAAGCATTTTTAAATGACTACGGTGGGCTTTGAATTGCTTCTAGAGCCACACCTTGGTCCAGTAAAGACCCAATTTGTTTAACAAGGACTGACTTCCATTCAACTTTGTTGAAAGGTTTTCCTTTCCCTCTGGGTACATTTAGCTTAGGGGAGACCTAAAAGTATTTCTATCTGTATTTATTTATCAGCTTCCAATTTGGCCAAAAACTTTTTTTGTCATAAAATTACTAACTCCTTGTAAACATCCTGTCAAGTTTCATCTGGGACAAACAGTAAATATTTCTGACAGTATCAAACAACCCCCATGGAGGCAAGAGGCATCCTCAGTGGGGATGCAAAGGATATTTACGAGATCTAATGTCACTCCCAAAGACAACCAAAGAAAGAATCAACAAGCTGCATGACCCAGGGAGGCAGCAAGCCAAGCAGACCAACAAGAAGTCAAAAGCTATTCCTGAGGATCAATAACCAATCAGTATGGATTTGCAACAGAAGGGGCATCGCGAATTCTATTTCCTTTCTCATCAGCCCCAGAATATTGGCATTGTATTGGTCATTTGCAGGGGGGCCCAACATAACTTTTGACCCACTGCTTCCTCTGTGAGGGGGTTGTGAATGGCCACTAATCTTTCTAACTGCTCTAAATTTGGTAGGATATTCTGCATAGAGATTAAAGAGTTTTATAATGTCAAATATCTGCTGCTGTCCAGGGGTCAGGAAAAAAATTTCTCTTGTTTGGGTGCAGGGAAGGTGGTCTAGGATACACCTGCAGAGGGGATTGTGTAGGATTGTCTGAACCTGGTGGGGCCTGATTACAGAGCCCTGGAAAGTGGGAGCAAAGTTAAGCCTTACCTCCAGTCTCTGGTGCTTTTGTTAAATTCTACCCTGGCTTTCAGCAGATATAGGAGTAACATGTATTCTTTGGGCCTAGAAATCAGGTCTAAGTATTCCTTATACATCCATGCAGAAAGCAAGTAAAAACAGGCAGATGGGGCTGGATTTTAAGGGGAATTTGTATTGGATGTGGATATTAATTTTTTTCCAAGCCTAATTTCAGTTCTTTTATCTTGTCAACAGAATCCCTGAGGCTAGCCATTACACTAATAAGACAACTGAGAGCTCTCCAAAAAGATTTTTTTCTTTCAAATATAGCCATTTAAAGGATCCATTGTCTGTTCATTGACAAGTAGGATCTTCATAGTGATTCAAACCCATAACCCTTTTTATGGAAAGACCCAGAGGAATCTTTCCAGGCCAGGGACACAAGAAACGTCCCTAGAGGGCATAGATGATACAGCCCCTATGGTCTAAAAAGTTCACTCCTAAAGTCTAAGCAAAGACCTTCATTGCACAGGCATTAAGGATGGCTGTAATAAGCAACAAAGGCTGAGATAAAAAAAAGTCCCTTAGGGAATGGGACCTGTTATGACAAACTCCCTGAGAGCTGGCAGAGTGAGACAAAGAATGCAGGTATTTGGATCCACAGCCTATTGGGCTGCCCACAGGTGCACACGGTACACGCATCCTCTGGCTGGTGGTGGGGGCCAGAGAGAATATTCTCACTGGTCACAAAGCTAAACTTTCAAGGCATGCAACAAGACAAAAGGAAAACTTACATGGACATTAACAGCTTTAGCTAAGCCTTGGGCCTTCTTGGAAACTAAACTAATACCTAGGAGGGACATGCCTCAGGAGTGTTTTAAACATGCCATGTGTGTTTGAAAGTAGAACTCATTGCATGGACGTGTCTTTGAAGTGACAATGACCTAGTAACAATCCAACCCATTCAGTGATCAACTTGTCCTATCACAGGAATCTTCTTGAGATGGCAAATGCCCTAACAGCCTTTAACTGCTCAACCCGTGCCCACCAAGGTTACAGCTTTGGCTTCCAAGTTGTCTCATAGCAACAGCCTTAACCTCCTGTGCACATTCACCCACAGCAAAGTTGGTCTGCACAGACAGTCTGGTGAGAACCGTGAACTCAGCAGGCTGTGAGGCAGATTCAGACGGCAGGCTCACAGGGCCTATGCCTGCATTTTATCCCTGTGGTTTTTCTCCTTATGACAAAGACCACCTCTGGGAAGAAATCCATCAGCAAAGCCAAGAGCACACAGACCAAATTTACCGAGAGTCATCAAGCCCAAAGACCTAGTTCCACCAATATTTTCTCCTGCTAATCTAAATTCAGAAAGAGAAAGACTCTCACCATTCTTGCCCCATCACACCCCCAGAGATTCCAGGAGGATGATATGGTAAGAAATCTTACCTTCCACCAGCTGTCCGTCAGATGTCCCAGATTCTCATCTGCAGAGGACTGAAGCAAGCAATGGCCAGTGAGTTCAAGTCTCCCTCCGACTATGCCAGCTGTTGGGGAGGAAGAATTTCCCTACCCTTCAAGGTTCTTTTAGCTGGTCTAAGAAACAAATTGGTTTTTTCTCCTGTTAATCTGTCTCGTGTCAAAGTTTAATTATGTACCTAGGGTAATCCACAGACACAGACTCCAAAGACAATAAGGGACAAGGAGATACAGACCTCATCCTAAACTAAGGAGAAGGGGGAAGGGAAGGGAAGGAAGGCAATTCACAGGAATATGAAAGTAAATCCTTGGTAATCAAATGCTTGAGGGGCCACACAGAAAGAAGGGAACCTAGAGGAATGTTAACAGACTTGGCCACGTCGCTCTCTACCACACCTAGTTCACAGGTAAGGAGTTCCCTATGGCAGTGGCTCCCCTGCTGGAGCAGTTCCTCCATCGGAAGCCTTTTATGCAGTTAAGGGGGCAGGAAACCCAAAGTTTCTTTCTGGCTTTTTGGGCCTAGATTATTTTCAACTCCAGCACAGTCTGCCTGTCAGAGTGACACACCTTGAGGCAGCCTGCCCTTGGCCCCTATACTACCCAGGTTCTGCCAGCCATCTACCCCACCAATGCCCTGACCTTAACCTCTTCTGCCCTCTACAGAGAATCCCTGCCTGGGGGAGGTACTCCGAGAGGTGATCCACCGCCAGAAAGGTTATGCGTCCTGTGCCACAGCTTCCAAGGTGCCCATAATGGAATGTCGTGGGGGCTGCGGGCCCCTGTGCTGCCAGCCCACCCGCAGCAAGCGGCGGAAATATGTCTTCCAGTGCACAGACGGCTCCTCATTCGTGGAGGAGGTGGAGAGACACTTAGAGTGCGGCTGCAGCATGTGTTCCTGAGCCCCTCTGCCTCCCTGCCTCTCAGACTCCAGCTCAGCAGAGGTGGGACAGCTGCGTGGGGCCCCCTCGAGATTCAGAGTGAAGAAGCAGAAGCTGGAGAGAAAGCAAAAGAAGAAGAGAATATTAAGTATATTGTAAAATAAACAAAAAATAGAACTTATTTTTATTATGGAAAGTGACTATTTTCATCTTTTATTATATAAATATATCATACCATCTGAGTATATGTTCCATATAGTGAGTTATTTTTACCGAGTTTTTTGGTTGTGTATTTGTTGTGCTTTGATAAACAGCTGTTAAAAATTTTAAGAAAGAAGACTAATAAAATAGTTTTAAAACAACAGGATAAGAATAAAGAAGTGATAACCTGTCTGAGGAAGAAGAAGGAACTTCTTATGTTTCTGAAACACTATCGTGTCAGCTGAACCAAGAACTGCTTAACGAGCTCAGGAAAAGGAAGGATAAGAGGAAGAGAAGGAAAAAAGATTTTTCTTGGTTTCTTTTTCTTTTTAATGACTCTCTTTCCTTCCCTAAAAGCTCCCAGCTTTTTAAGACCTGGTTGTCAATGCCCAGAACTGCCAGTTCTTCCAGGAAAGCTGCTGAGCGCCAGCTGGCCTTCTCAGACTCACTGTGACCCAAACCAAGCCCCGGCCCTGCCTGCCCACGCCCCCTGCAGGGCCGGCATCTCCTGCCTGGCTGGCCCTGGGGTCCAGCACAGGACTGTCAGAACTCTGCCAAAGGCTTCATCAGAGATTGTTTTGCTAACTTTTAAAACAGCTGCTCTTTTCCTGCCCCTCTTCAAGAACGTGGTTCCTCCCAGTGAGGTGAATGAAGGACGGGGGCTCTCCTGCTGTCTCCTCAAGGCCCCGCCACGGCTCTTCCTCAAAGTTCTGAACCTCCCACCTCCCTCCAGTGACACTAGGAAAGCGGGCAGCCGGGGCTGCTGGGACAAGGGAGGCTGGGTGTCCAGCCTTCCCACACCTGGGTAAGTCTGACTCTGGAAAGTTCTTGGGGGCTCTTGCTGTAGAACAGTCAGACCTCTTCCACCTGCTCCTCCAGGCCACCATCTAAATCGGCCCCTCACCCATCTGCAACATTCACCAGTGCATATCACCATGGTGTCTTGTTTCATCCATGCAACCCCTGTCTACCAGGGACGCTAAAACAGTATAGCCCCATTGCACAGATAAGGAAACTGAGGCCTCTCCCCAGCTCTGTATCTTGCCTTAAGCCACACATCTGGTAAGTGGAAGAGCCAGGCCTGGAGCCCAGACTCAAAGTTCTAGATTCCTTCTTCAGAATGGTAAAAACACAGGAGATACAGGCAATTTTAGTTCATCAGAGGAGGCCTACCAGAAAAGGAAAGTAGGTGCTTTTTTCTGCTATTTTTCCTCCTTTTGTTCTGCCTTGTTCATTTATTCTGCCCCTAGCATTCAGAAAGAGTCTAGACTTGGGGGCTTATTTATCAGGGAGTGTGAACAAGGCAGCCCATCCAGCCCTGACTCTTGGAACTGCCAGCCCTCCTGAAGGGGACGTGCCATCTCTCCCAGACCCTCATCTGCCCCTCCCGCCTCTGCAGAGTAGTGCAGATGGCCCCGGGTGCAGCTGCTCCCACAAACGCCCTGTCTCTCACCCTCCCTCCTTCCAGGAGCCTCCCCTGCAGACAGGTCTGGGGTGAGTTTGGGGCCTACTGGGCCTTTCAGCTCTGCAGGTTGCCAGGGAATGTAGGGATTCCATGGAGACCAACAGTGGGTCAAAGCCTCAAAGAATCAAGAAGGGAGAAAGGAAAGAAGATGATGGAGGAATGCAAGCAAGCGGCAGATAGGGAGGGAGAGAAGGACGGAGAGGGAAAGGAAGAGAGGGATGAAGGGAAGGGGGGAAGGATGACAGGGAAGAATTTACTTAATATATGCATATTAATATCCAGTATGTTCTAGGTACTTTCTGGACCTTATGAAGGATTTGTTTCAAACATTAATAGCTAGATTAACTTAGGACTTACTACCTTATACATGAGATACCATTCCAATATATATACATACGAAAGCATACCTCGGAGATACTACAGGTTTGGTTCCACAAGAAAGCAAGTCAGATTAATTTTTTGGTTTCCAAGAGCATATAAAAGTTATGTTTATATTATACTGCAATCTATAAAGTGTGCAATAGCATTATGTCTAGAAAAAGGAATGTGTATACCTTAATTAAAAATACTTCATTGCTAAAAAATGCTAGCTGTCATCTGAGCTTTCAGCAAGTCATAATCACTGGTCACAAATCACCATAAGAAATATAAGAATAACAAAAAAGCTTGAAATAGTGTAAGAACTACCAAAATGTGACAGAGACAAAGTGAGCAAGTGCTGTCAGAAAAATGGCTCCAGTAGATTTGCTCAATGCAGGGTTGCCACAGACCTTCAATTTGTTTTAAAAATGCCGTATTTGCAGAGCACAATACAACATAACACAATAAAATGAGGTATGCCTGTGTGAATGTATATATATATTCATTCATTTCTCAGACCCACCCATTAGTCAAGACATTACCAATCTATTCTACAGTTGAGTAAATTGAGGGGCATGGAAACTTAAGGGACTTGCATGAGAGTAGATGCCTAAGAAATTGCAGGACCTGGATTTGGGACCAGGATGTCTGACTCCAGAACTTGCTCCCCATAGGAAGGAAACATCCACCTTTAAGGGTCCTACAATCTGGAGCCGCAACAATCATAGAAATGGACAACTGCTTTATTATACAAGTACCCTAAGGGAAGTATAAACAAAAGAAGTGGCTATTTGCCAGTGGGGGCAGGTAAGAAGTCAAACTTTCCAGGGAATGGCCTATTACAAAGCAGTGAACTAGGAAAAGGCCTGGCATGTTTGGGGAGCAGTCAGAGGTCTGTGGGGGCAAGAGGATGGGACACACATGAGAGCAGAGGGACAGATGGAGGAGACAGGGAAGGCAGGGGTTTCACCACGAAGAGTTCTGTGTGAGAGGCTAGACCAAAGGGACCCACTGGGTTTGGAGGAGGGGACACCAAGACAAGCTCTGTTTTAGCAAGAGAACTTGAAGCAAAGTAGCAAGAGGCCTGGAAAGAGAGAGGGTTCTACCACCCAAAATGGTATGTGGGCTCCTAGCTGTTCACTTTAGTTTGTTGTAACTAGACAATGCTGGTTTCCAGATAGGTCACAAAAGTCTTTGTAGATGCTCAGGTCTGCCCTACACTCCTCCCATCCCCCACAACCCACCCAGGCAGGTGGACCTAAGCCTTATTCTACCACCAGCACTTCCAGCTAACCCAGCACACAGCCCATGCAGCCTGCCATCTTGAGAACCCACCCAGCATCACGGGCTTTCTGGGAGGACTTGCCAGACTGCTGGCTCTCCCTCTGTCTCCCCAAGGAACCTGAGACCTCTCCGCCAATCATCCCCAAGCCCAATCCAGAATGCAGGCCCACTCAGCCAAAAAAAACCCAAGGTTCTTTTTCTTGGTGTGGTTTGGGGTGATTCTGAGCCTTCCCCTGAATTTCAGAAGCCCTGACTTTATGAAATGCCCAATGTAGGACCATTAAGAAAATTCTCCCTACAAGGAAGTTGTTTTAACAAAGGGAGATTAAAACTCTCTTATTTTAGTAGCCAAATTCTAGAAACAGGAAGTCCCGTGGAGCAAGAGGGGTCCAATCAGGTAATCTGCACACTGAAAAAAGTATAATTCAATGCTTGTAGGTAAAGATGTGAACATGTGCAGAAGAGGGGGCTGTTTTCCCCTGAGCAGGAATCCCTCTTTGACACAACCAAGAAACCCTAAATAATGGCCAATAAGATGATGTATTTAAAAGCTCTTTGTAAAGTGTAAACTAAAAACCTTATATGTACAATGCTGTTGTTGTTATTACCGTCATTGTTGCTATGACTGACATGCCAAAAGACTCTTTGTAGAAGATGGCTTTGCCTTTCCAATCTCCTAGGAAAGAACCTGAGTCTGACACTTCAGGAAGATGATAGTGAGGAGGACAAGGAGGAGAGGGGCAAGGAAATGAAGGGAGATCACCTAAGGCCAGGAAAAGAGGAGAAAATCTCCAGGATAACTCTCAGACACCCAGGAGTAGCCAGGCCTGGGATTGAGCTAACCTTGCCCTTCACCAGATACAAAGCTATCATCATACTGAAACCTAAGGGTACCCAGCCACCCACTGCCTTTGTGGGGAACAGAAGCCCCTAGCACAAATGAGCCTGCCTCTCAAAGACTCACAGCATTCCAGGTATCAGAGCTGAAAGAACCCAAAGGGGTCCCTGGTGGGTGGGAACCCTGAGAATCAGAAATGGAGTGTCTGAATCACAGACCAAGATCACCTAGCAAATTAATGTCAGAGGCAGGAAGAGACCCAGATGTCTACCCAGGCCAAAGTTCTTCCTGCTACTCCACAGCAGCATCCAGGCAGAGGGAAGCCTGAGACAGACCTTTCAATACCTTCTAGGTGGCTGGGAAGTATCCTCCACCTTCCCCCACAGCCATCTCTCAGGGCACTCAGATGACCAGGAAGCTGGGGCATTGTCTGGTTTGGTAGCACTTACCCATGTTTTCCAGTCTGGGTTAAAAATTGCCAAAGGAAACATTTGGGGAGGTTGATGAGAGATGCCAGCTAGCCAGGATGAGCAAAGACAGAATTGGGCATTTGGCAAAGCTTACTTCTCTAACTCAACAATAGGTTTTAAGAAGAAAAGTTTTATGATGTTTTAAAAACAGTGTTACAGTGCCACTTCCCTGATATGGGATAAATAATGTGCATTACAGACTGTCACACTCTGATGTCATTAAAATAAATGGATGAGTCGCAGGAGAGCTATCAGATGCTGTTGTGAATACTATAAGCTCAGCCCTGCTCTGTGTGTGTGTGTTTTATCTTTACTCCTGACCTTCACATTCCCTGGGGCAAAGATTACTGCATTCAAGGATTTGGGCAAGTCTGGTGTGGAGTTAGTGAAAAAATGTGGTTTCTTGGACCATGAAATGGGGGAAATTAATCCAGATTTCCCAGAGGCATGGGAGAAAGAATGCCCAACACATAATTAAGGGTCTGCAGGGTGTATGGTCACAGACTGGATGTTAAAGGTCATGGGGGAGATGCAAAGCAAAAGAGAACACTTACTAAGACATGAATAAAGGAGGGAATTAGGCATTGAAGTGCTCACAAGTCCTGGGCACCCCTTCCAGGATTCTCCAGGACAGCCTCCACTTTCCATGCTTAGGCCAACTAACCTCTCCTCCCAGGTTTGGGACCAACAGGTCTGTCGATCCCTTTCAAATCCCCTTTTGTATCAGTAATTGAAGAACTTCCAACTGGGAGAGATTATGTCCCCCAGGAGATATTTGATAATGCCTGGAGACAGTTTTGATTGTATGACTAGGTCAGTAGGTGTGACTGGCATCTACTGGGAGACCAGGGATGCCTCTAAACATCCTATGATGCACAGGACAGCCTCTACAACAATGAATCATCCTGCCCAAGATACCAGTAGTCCTAAGATTAAGAAACGCCAGCTTGGACTAACCAGCTCCTTCCCTGAATACCTAGACTGAATAATTTACAAAGGAAGGGGGAAGGGATAAGAGCACTAAATAGGCACAAATAGTGACCTCCTCAGGGGAATGTGGTCCCTTGGTGGGAATACAGGGTAGTCGGGTGGTCTATTCTATACTGTATTCAGAGCATCATCACTGACAGGAAACTGGGACCAAGACATTTCAAGCAATGGAGTGTAACCATCATCCTTTCTGCCACTCTGTTCTTGCCACTCAGTCACTGAAAATGGATGAAAAGCAACAGATTATGGATTTAATGTGCTTAGGTAACACATACAAAATATGGTAGAGCAGAGAGCATTCACCTTCGGACCTGCTATTGGCATTGAAATAAAGAACAGGGTAGATAAAAATGTTGTCTCTATTTCCTGCAACTCTAAGCTTCAGCTAGGCCCCAACAGGAGGAACAGGAAGGCTACTGCATCAGCACATACGCACTGAGCATTTGTCTGTGGAATGTCAAAGGCGAGTGAACAAAGTGTGGGTCAAAGGCACGAGCAGCCCCACTTGAGGATGTTGCACAGGATTCTGGGGGGACTCTCAGTAAGGATGGCAGCACTAGATGGCTGGCAGAGTAGCCTCACTCACTCAAGTAACCTTTAAAGTGCTGTAGGCACAGGAGTTTCTCCCAGCTTCCAACCAGGGCTCTGTAAACGTCCTGTTTTCCAGCCCCTGCAGTGGGGTCATGGGAGAGGAGGCAAGCCCTGAGGCTTGAGAGCTGGGAGGATCTAGTGGGGCTGAGCAGCCCTGCCTGTCTGAGAGCTCCCCTCATCCTCTCCCCTATCCTGTTGTTTGACTTTAACAACGTCACCATGAGTTGCAGTTTCCCCATCTAGAGAACAGGGGTGGATGTTACCAAGGCTCTGTAGAGCACAAGTGGCAAAAAACAATTCAAACTAACTTAAGGCACAAAAGGAATATGTTGGCTCAAGTCCTTGAAACCTCAGGCAGTTCTCGCAGCATCAGGCAGGGGTGTGTGGATCCTAGAGCTCATACAATGTCTAAGGGCTTGGGGTCTCTTGCACATGCTCGGGCTTCTTTCTCAGCAAGGCTCTCCTGAGAAGACGGCAAAGTGACTCAGCCACTGCAGATGGAAAGCAGTACCCACCACTAAGTCCAAGAAAAACAGCTTCTCTTTTCCAAAAATTCCAAGAGACGTCTCAGCAGTCACTATCTCTGATTGGCCTGGCTTGAGGCAAATGCCCATGACTGGACCAAACATATGGCCAAGATATTAGGGTACACTGATCAGCCAAGCCTTTTATCCACGACTACCCCAGAGCCAGACACAGACAGTGGAGGGTGAGGATGGGTGTTTCCCCAAGGAAAAGAGGGAATAGATGCTGGGTGGGCCAAAATTACAGATGGTAACTACTCACAAGGAGTTACTTAGAAAATAAGACAAGTTCTCGTTCAGGATGGTAACACAGGAGAACCCCAAGTTCACCTTCTCTCATAGACACAGCAAATCTACAGCTACATAAGGAAAAGCTTCCTCTGAAAGGAACCCCAAAACCAGCTAAGCAATTCCTACACATCAGATAACTAAGAAAAAACCCACATCAAAAAAGGTAGGAGAGGTTGAGACACAATCTGGCCATAAATCCCACCTCCAGTGCAGTGACCCACAGTTGGGAGGGAACTCTCCACTCCAGTCTTCTCCCTGAGGAGCGAAGGGTTTGAGCCCCACATATGGCACCCCAGCTTTTAAGACTTGCACCTAAAAGATGAGCTCCCAAAACATCTGCCTTTGAAAGCCAACAGGACTCACTGTGACACCCAGTATCTCCAAGAAAGTAGCTACTGTACATATTTGCACCCCAGCTTTTGTGGTTGCCATCTAGAGGATGCATCCTTTGATAGCCTGCCTCTAGTGGCCACCAGAGCTTACAATCACGAGATCAATGAATGGTTCACAGGCACAAACTAAGAAACAGTTGCTAACTGGCTGTCACCAGGGACTCGGTGCAAAGAGAGCAGACAGAAACACCGATCACCCAGTCGTCCCTTGAAAGAGAGATATTTGCGTACTTAAAAAACTGCTGTCAGCGACCTAAGTGTCCATCAATAGATGAATCGATAACGAAGATGTGATACATATGAACAATGGAATGTTATTCAGCCATAAAAAGAAAAGAAATCTTGCCATTTGCAACAACATGGATGGAGCTACAGGGCATTATGCTCAGTGAAATAAGCCAGGAGGAAAAAGACAAATACCATATGCTTTCACTTATTTGTGGAATATAAAAACAAAGTAAAACAGAAGGAATAAAACAGCAGTAGACTCAAAGGCACTGAGAAGTGACTAGTGGTTACCAAGGGGGAGGAGTTTGGACAGGTGACAAGAGGGACAGGAGGGGGTGATAAAAGAGCATAATAATTCACAATCACAAAATAAGTTGATCACAGGGACTGTTGAACCACTGGATGTACATTTGAAACCAATGTAAGATTGTGTATTAACAATACTTTAATAAAAAAAAGCTTCTGTCTAAGGGTCTGTTTTTTAACCAGCCTGAATCTAGGTGCTGACTGAGATCCTCCCTTCTGGGACATTGGACAAGTGTTGGCACCCCCTCAACTACTGAGAGCCACTAAATATAAGTAATTCTTTGGCATGGTTTGTAGAGGCTAAATGAAATAATGTATATAAAGCACATGTCACAAACTAGGCATTAAATAGTGGTATTTTATTGCATGTTACGTGTGTAGCTAATAGTACCTTCAGTTTAATTCATGTTATAATTGATTCTCAATGTGAAAAAGAATTATCATATAGATACTCAGCAGTTTATATGCTATGAATCAACTAGGTCAATCAGAATATCACAGCTATGAACCTTATAACATTGAATTTGAATTTGAAAACTACATGAATTTCCAAGCAAGGAGTCTACAGACTGAGACTGGTCTATAAATACATTTTGATTTATTTAACTTGCCCAATGTTGTTGTTGTTTAATTGATACAGATTCAAAAGTATAGAGAAATCTCATTTTAAAAACCTGGTAGGCTGCTTGGACAATCACGACATTTTGAGGGACAACCATGAGCTAGGGCAAGGTTGAGCAATAAGACTCATCTCCTACAAGGCCACCCCTTCAGTACTGAGAGAGTTGGATGTTTTATCTAATGCTAGAAACCAACACAGAGAGTCAAGGAAAATGTGGAATATGTTCCAAATGAAAAGAACAAGCTAAAACCTCAGAAAAACACATTAATGAAATGAAGATAAATAACTTATCTGATAAAGAGTTCAAAATAATGGTCATAAAGATGCTCACCAAACTCAAGAGAATAATGTATGAACTATAAATAATGTATAAGTGACAATTTCATCAAAGAGACAGAAAATATAAGAAAGTACCACATAGAAGTCACGGAGCTAAATAATAAAATAACTGCACCAGAAAATACAATAGAAGGATTCAATAGCAGATTAGACAAAGTGGAAGAATGGATCCATGAACTCAAGGTAGGGCACTAAAACTCACACAATCAGGGCAGCAGAGAGAAAACAAAATGAAAAGAAATGAAGACAGCTAAAAAGAATTATGGGACAATATCACATAGACCAATATTCACATTATAGGGGTCCCCAAAAACCAGAGAAAGAGGAAGGGGCAGAAAATTCACTCGAATAAATAATGGCTGAACACTTCCCTAATCTCGGAAAAGAAACAGTCGTTTAGATCCAGGAAAGCCAGAGAATTCCAAAGAAGGATGAACACAAAGACATCCACACCAAGACACATTATATTTTACTGTCA